GTATTTTATATAATGTTTACGTGTTTTGTGGCCTATTTACAAATAAATAAAGATCATTGTTTGAATACAGATTCAATACCTGGGCGGAGCCGGGCCCGATAGACAACAGCGACTTTGTATGTGGTCACGGCGGCGTGAGGCCCGAGCGTGCCCCCCACCTGCACCACCTCGCCGCGCTCATACCGCAGCCTCTCTGGGAGTTCCTCTACATGCAGTCAGTATTCTATCTACCTAATATATAAAATTCTCGTGTCACAGTTTTCGTTGCCATACTCCTCCAAAACTCCGAAACTAAATTTTTAATTTCTATTTTTTTATGACAACATACAAAAATACATACCAGCATACAAAAATACATACAATCCTCAATTTTCACCCTTCTACGATCAACCCTTATTTTTTAATAGCCATTTTAGTAATTTGTGTTTGAACAAAAAATTACTAGGAAATTATTTATATGGCAAAACAACGTTTGCCGGGTCAGCTAGTACAACTATAATATACTAACTTAGCACTGTGGTTTCTCTAGAATAATTAAAAAACATAGTCTGTGTAACAGGAAATAGTTGTGTAATAATTTGTGTATTTTTTTTATGGTGTAAGTCGGCAAACGAGCAGACAGATTACTTGATGGTAAGCAATCAGCGCTGCCCATGGACACCCGTAACAAAGGAGTTACAAGTGCGTTTTTTTTTTTTTTTTTTTTTTTGTGAGGGGAATATCATCAAATGACTTCTCCCGCCCAGGGCCGGGCAGGAGGGAGTGTCAGACTCTTACTGACTAAAAACCCCCCTGTTCCTTCTCCTGCTCTGTGCCGAGGTCGCGGTACCTTATTGCGCTTACCCCGCAACCCCGGCTGAACATCAGCCCTTTAGGGCCCCGTCTGTGGTGGTCTATTGGCTCTTTGAGGCGCGCGCGGAACGCTACGCGCCGTACGCTCGGGCCTGGTTCTGGTCGGGCGGCGAGCTGCCCTTACTCGCCGACCGCAGGCCCGTACTTACGGTGGCCGGAGATCGTCCCTCGATCCCCGACGCCCGTAGTGTCGCCAGTTGCGGCTGCTGGGGCGTGAGGAGGAGGATTGCTCCCTCACGCGGGCCGCCTCTCTCTTTGCGAGCATGACTGCTTCACAAAAGGAGGAGACGGCGTCCCAGTTCCTCTCACTCCGCACCATGGCCTCGACTAAGGCCGGGCGCGAGAGGTCGCCGCCGCCGATCACTTCCCTGAGGATACGGCGGTGCTCAGCCCAGGCAGGGCATACCGCTACCGTATGCTCCACCGTATCCTCTAGGTGGTCCTCACAATGACGACACTCGGGCGTTTCCTCCCGCTGAATCCGAAACAGGAACCTACCGAAGCTGCCGTGCCCGGTAAGCACCTGCGTCAGGCGGAAGGTGAGGACGCCGTGGCGTCTCTCAAGCCACTCCTCAAAGAGGGGTCTTACCGCTGCTATGGTAGCGTGCCCGAGTTACAAGTGCGTTGCCGGCCTTTTGTGAATTACGGATTTAGGTGGGATTGGAGTAGGGGAAGCTTTGGCCCTCCGGTAACCTCACTCACAAGGCGAAACACAACGGTGTGTTGTGTTCTTTTTTGTAATTGAATAATTTCGAAGTTAAGTTTGTCAGGGGACGTGTGTGTTACTTTGGTTACTATAAGAACGCGCGACCGTTTCAACATTGGACATCAAGAAGTTCCAATGATGACTTGATTGATACATTTTCAAACTTAAACTTGCCCCTCCCCCCCCCCTTATTACAAAACAAGGTTTATCTTTAGTCCAGGTTTAAATCGGGTTTTGAATTTTGAACCTTATTGTCATCTTACCTTCAATTCGAAATACGAAAACTGGCTCAATGGTTTAGTCCGAGTAAAACCTTGTTTTGTAATAAGGCCGGCCAAGTTTAAGTAAATGACTGATAAATTGAAAATGTATATAAATCTAGTGTAAGACGGTTACTTAACAATATGATATCTGTGTGGTACAGTTTCGGCGGAGGCCCTGCAGTGTCGCACGTGCACGAGTGCTGTGTATGCGCGCGCTGGGCGGCCCGCCTGCGCACGCGCCGCGCCACGGAACTCAACGCATTCTGCGACCTGCATGCTAGCTTCCAGGTACATTTTTACTTATTATATCCTGGCCTTGGGTCCATCGGTCATTGTGATTCTCTTTGTCACCAACTTCAGCGGTAAAAAACAGTGAAGTTAGTAACTTTTCTTCTGAGCCCTCATGCAACAGTGGATCAACCTATTACTATGTAGACCTACAAACATACTGAATATTTGTAGTATCATATTATGATAATAACCACACTGATTTTAATATAATGTGTCGCTACGTAACGGCAACGAAAGCGGATTACATGATGGTAAGCAATCTGCGCTGTCTATATGTACCATATGTTAGGGATAAGGGGTTTTATAGGGGGTGATTTGACCTTTGGTAACCTCACTCACACGGCGACACACAAAACTGTGGTCATTTCACATCCGTTTCTGTGAAGCCATACTAACACTCCCGTCGAGCCGTGGCCATTCGTGCCAAAGCATGGCTCTCCCACACATAAAGTGTTGAAATATTGGTACAAAGTCTAGTTCCTAAGAAAGTAATGACTACTGACTTTCAGTGGTAGTTATCCATTAAATCTGCAATGTGCCACTAAATGTATAAACAAATGCAGGAACAAGAGCGCCCTCACGCCATCTACGGTATCAGCATGCACTGGTTCCGGCAGTGGCAGGCCTTCGTACGCAACAAGACGCAGCAACCACCCCCACCCGTCGACAACTCCGGGATTGTTAGCAAACAGGTAACTCTAACCACTCTATTAGACCAGTGAATCTACTCTGAACCGAAGACTCCCTTGCCTGCACTCCACCAACAAGGTATACTTTTTAATACGTGTATGTTAAAGTTTTTTATTGTTTTACAAATATTAATGGAATATCTTTTATAATCTAGGATCGTTTAATTTTAAATGTGTTACCTATGTTTCATAAATAACTGATTGTGATTCCATCCGAAATGACGACTAGTCAACTTGAATATTTTTTACCGATTGTAGTCTGAGGAGTTATTACTGTTTGACGATATACAATCCACTTTTTAACAGAAACGTCTCGTGCATCATTTTGCAGTAGCTGCCAATGTTAATGTATGTATGAATATTTCCAGGAAATCGACGGCACGACGACGCTCACGATAAAACCGGGCTCCGACCACGCGCAGCTCAGCGAGGAACTGTGGCGGTTCTTCACCAGCATATACGGCGGCGGACCCGAAGTACGGCTCAAGTCGCCCATCAACACCGGCCACCAAGTCATACTCGCCGACAAAGACACCAAAGCACTCGAGACCCGGCGGCTGTCCAGGAAATATTCAGAGTCGGACAGGGAGGAATACTGCACTAAATCCACCTCGGAGATGAATATCAGAGACTCCTTACACGGAGAACTGCAGAAGAACCAATCCCTCCAGAACATCAACCGACGATACAAAGCCAAAGCCACCGCCGAGTCTGACGAAGACGTGACATACAGGCGAGCCAGCTTCCAGTACAAGCGCACGGAGACCAACGGGAACTACCAGGAGTCGGACGACGACATGGACGTGAGCCCGCCGCCCCACAACTCGGTGTACGTGAACACCGTGCGCCTCGAGAACGGGCTCGACAGCTCCGACCACGACGCCAACGACAACCCTGTGCCGCACAGGAACACCTCCGACAAAGTGACAGACACTGACCTACCAAATCTAGATAGTATATCGCTGAAAAGCAAGCCCGCGAAAAGCGGCAAAGTGAGAAAAATGAAACGACGGACAGTCAAATGATTCTTTCTAGCTTTCCAGTTTGTTCACAGGCTGAGGCGAATGGTCGCGTCAGCTCGCAAAGACTACGTTTAACTAACGTTACATTTTCGAACATTCCTTTTATTTCGGTGACTGGTGTTTAAAATACGTGCATTTATAGGTTGGACGAAACTAAAAACACTGGGACTCTGGTCTCTCTCTTGTTTCGTAAAAACGATATTTTTCTAAAGCATTATAATTAAAATCTGCGGCCTCCGCGCCCGGCTAACGGGAGGGTGTTAGTATTTTTAGTACAATTTTAATTTAGTTCAAATTCAGGTATAGAAAATTTAGATACTTGAATAAAAATGATGTTATACGTGAAATAATCATCGAACTTGTATATTTACAATAATGAATGTATATCTGTGTAAAATTCTATTGAAGTTAACCATAACACCTAATGTGTGTATAGAAATTCGTGTTTATAGGTAGACTATTATCCTGACTGCATTTCTTTCTTTTCCTCTTATTTACCGTGGATTAGGTATTTATTTTGTTATTTCTGGTTCTAAGTCTATGTGTTATTTGTTAAAGAATTGATCAGCAATAAAATATATTTCGTCTATATTGGCTGCAACATTTGTTTTATTATTTTATAACTCATTAACAGTATACTCTCTCATTGTATGGATAAGATAATGGCCAAAAGTCTAGACATAATGACGCATCGTCACAGCTACATAGCGCACACTGCATTAGAAATCCGCAAAAATCTAAATACTCGGAGGTCATTGACACCGCCATGCCTACGTCATTGATAAAGTAATATTTCGCGTAACTACGCGGAGTTGACGCGCGCATAGTTTTTCTTATTTCCTCTGGATGGCAAATAATGGACGTTTAATAGCGACAATTGAGTAATAATGTAGTGTCGTAAATGCGTGTAAAATCAGGCGAACGATACAATGACAACATGATTTATTGCTCGCAAGTGTTTAGCGTCAATATATTTTCTTTTTACCGTATTGTCTACTCTTATTGTCTATATACTTTTTTAATAAATATAATTTTCTGAAATAAGTTACAAAGGAATTGCGGTTTTTTGAGACACTCACAAGTGGAACAATAATGAAATGTCTTTGTCCCGGAAACATAACTTAAAAATTCAAACATGCTAAAAAATGGCGGACTGGCGAGAAAACAAAACAAAATGGATGTTCCAAATATTTATTACAATGAAGACCATTACATCATGTTATTATAAACCAGGTACAATGTTTATAATTTATTATCATTAGGCTATCCTGCGAGGGAAATATTTTGCGTTAGTAGATACTGTCAATATACGGCCGTGTTCAAAATCAAGGTTTACGGAAATTGATCGGGGCTCTATGAATCGAAGATGAAATACAAGACCAGCTTCTGTATTCCCCAAACGCATATTTATGTACAAAAATACCAAAACAAATAAACAATGTGCCATTAACCGGGCGTCCATAATAAATGTCAAAAAGGTACGGCAACCGCACTATGCTTACTGTCCGGTAAATACATTCCCTAAAACTTGATTTCCAACACAAATATCAAACTGAAAAGTTACGTTTTTAAAACAATCAACGTGTATTACTCGATAAAGCGTAACAAAAATAGATCATTTCTATTAAAATATCATACGTTTCTAAAAATATTTAAATTTTCATTTTTAATCAATAACTCATCTACAATTTTTAATTATTATAAGGCCCCTATGTATGTACCAAAATTACGTATATCGTAAGTATATCTATGGATCTTTTTTTTACAAATTTTCTTTTTTTGCTACGAGTAAGAGAATACTACTATACAAAACAAATTGTGCCGACTTTAACACCTCATTTGGTGTACACAGAAAGTAATTTTGTTACACTATCAGCAAGATTCATACAATTATAAAGAACATCTTTCTGCGAATATGATTGCGAAATGCAGTTTTATTAAAGGCAACGTAAATTATAACATGATTTACAAACAATATTATTCTATCACTCACAGCAGCTTCGTTGCTGTAACCAAAACTTACATAGACAAATTAAAAAAAAATATTCGAAACTTTACAGAATGTAAGCACAAAATAAAAAATATGATAATAATTATGTATTTGGTATTCCACAACATAATTTCGTTTTTACAAAAATATAAATATAATGAGTTACACTCATTAAACATAAAAACTATAAAAAAACTGGGGCTACATGAAAAAGGTTAACAATTATGCATAGATATTCCCCAAATCGTTAAAATAAAAAAGGTAAACACTTATAGTGTTGCCAAAACAGAATATTTATAGTCAATCGACATCTGTTAACTATAAAATGTTAAATAAATAAATACAGGTGAACTTTAATATTAAATATTCAAGTTACGTGACAACAAAAACGGCCGTACATGGTAGTCTTTGATATGTTAACTATTTTAATAATTATTTTACAATCTAAAAAAAACATTATAAAAATATATTGCATTGTGTCGTTGTATATTTATGTATCAATAATAAAATATGAGGAAAAAGTATAAGCGCCGATTTCATTCTAATTAGGACCTCGTAGCCTTATCACGCAAATTAAATAGTAATATTTTTCTTTGTTCTAAATGTAGATAAGACGTTTTTATACAACTTGCTTGATAAACTTTATACCCGACTTTGTTATCCTGTAACAATCATCTCGTTCATAGATTTTAATTAGATGAAATCGCGGTTATTTATATCCTATATGTAGTTTTGTACTTAGAAGTTTGCACCAATCGCTGTATAACTATTGTTAATCGTCAGATAGGTAAATATCACTCAGTATAACTGCCTATTTGAGAATATAATGTTCTGCTATTGTATATGACTAGTGGTATAAGGGCATAGACTGAGCTCGGTGTCTTGGGCGGCAGCAGCTTAGTGTTAGATCAAAATTAAAACAGAAAAAAGCAAAAGATTAACGTCAACATGTAAAAAACACTAAAACAAAAACTACAAGCGACTAATTTATTACAAGTTACGTAGATAAAGGTATGATGCTTTTGATAGTTGTAAAATTCGTTCTCTATCAGATAAAGTTTAATTGCATGACCACACCATCCTAAGCTGCAGCCTTACAAACATTTCGAACTAACATAACGACTCGTTCTCAGTCTACAACCTCGGGAAGGATTTAGCAAAAATATTTCCAACAAATACATACAACAGTCGAAAAAACTTAAACATTAACAGTTTCATATAAATTGTATTTATAAAAAACATTTTTACGGAAATCTTTTCTGATATCTGCTTAAAGGAAATATGTATAATCATCGATATACAAAAATATATGAAAATTTCTTACTTTTACTTATACCAAATGTGCGATAGGAAAGGTCCTAACATTATTATAGATAAACTTTTTTTTATTTTTATTTTTTTCTTGTATTAACTTTAAAATTCCAGATCTTTCGATTGTAAACTTTGTATCAGCTCGATCCGAAAACTATTCCACATTGAAATCAAAGGCCACTCTTATAGAGCACAATAAAATAAAAAGCAAAATTAATAATAATCATACATATTTAACTTGTATATCAATAAAGATTTCGATATGCTTCACACACTTATACATTAAATTAAGACAACAGGTGTTAACTGATTCAACCAGCCCTATGGTCGTGTATTTCTCAAATAGAAAAAAAACTAATTTTCTCACTAACCTAACATAGTACAATTAAATTTCTAGAAAAGAATAAGTTGCATTTGAGGTAGATTAAATTTTTTACAGTCCTATTAACCTAATAGATTAGAATTATTCACATATTCTACGTATCAAGCGTGTACACGATCTCATAATATGCTCTCCTTGCATAACCAGACGCCGAACATTGACCATTATTATTAAAACCTTTACATTACCGAAAACTATTTTAACTTAATATAGATTTAAACATGTTAATGTGTCAGGAATTGCATTCAAAATATTTAGAGCTATCGAAATCGGGAACTTTACCTAAATGTGGGTAGCCGATCGCCTTTATTTTTCTTCCCTTTCCAGATTTTCAAACTTCGATTATGATATACAATCAAATATTATCATTGCACATTAATTTATCGTAAATATCCAGGGAATCTAATGTTATGTTTGACTAATGCTAATGATGCCCCAATCTCGATGGCACTCCAAATTAACTGAACAGCGCACGTGCACAACTCGCGATTAAGAACGACATGAAAATATAATTAAGATACAGACCACGTATTAAATTTAGACAGAATATCAATTCTGTAGAATAAAATGATGAAAATCAAGACTGTTATCTACATTCCGTTTACGTTTAGGGACAATCTTGTTAATATAAGTCTTTATTAGTTCTTAGCCCTACAGATACTAGACAAAATATTTCGCAAAGAAGCGTAGCGTCGAAATAGAAAGTGGTCACAGGATATTTTAAGAGAAAATGACGAAAAGATGTCGAGTGAATGAAAAATAGTAAGAGGTGAACGCCTCGCGAATTGTCCACGTGTCGAGCGCGAAAAAAACTTTTGTTTGAAAAATGCAAGGCATTTCACATCGCACAAGTTGGTGAATTATCGCTATCGTAACATCAACCATCTGACACACATCACTAAACGAATTACATAATTTGGCTCATTATTCTAAAACGTATGCCAAGAAAATTGTTCCTCTGAAGTAACAAAATCCGAAAGTTATTACTGTATGAAAATAAAAAAATATTACGGTCAAAATTATGAAAATTTTGCAAACCTATCGCCGGCAGATCGAAAGAAAGTTCAAAAGTATTACTTGATAATTCCTGCACACGCGAGTCTAACGAGCAAACGAAATCCGGATTACCGAGTAACGTACGTCGACTTCATCCATTCGCAATCCTATCACTTTTGGCACATTTTTGTTACAATGACAATGATAACGACGTATATTACGTATCAACACGAAGTTTTCTTGCTCATCAGACACACACCTAATTAGTATATTCTATAGGAAGCACAAGTGCCTCTGAGGTATATTGATCATTTTATTGCATTTTGTTTCTAGCTCAAGTCTGCCTGTTGTAAGGACTTCGATATCATTCTGGACAATAGAATGAAATGGAACCCTAAAACCATTCAATATTAAGCCTTCAATTGTATAACTCTGTTATGAACACTTAGCACTTACACTTAAGGATGATATATCAATCTAGTTATAGACAGATCTGATGTTAATCTACTCCGGCAGAATATGACATTCACTTTATTGATTTCAAAGGAATATGCTCTCTGTTGTATTATATTATCGCGTCGAAAGCAGCAAGCCTCTCTAAAACATATTATAATAGCTCGCTGCCTCCAAGAGTCATACGCCCTGCTTGTATTCTGCTTACTATACTCGTACCGGACCGCGACCGACGCGGACGTGAACGCGGCCCGTCTCAACTAAGCACTAACTGTATCCCATCTAATAGCTCACAGAGTTGGTCCCAATTATACTCCATAAACGTCATGTACGCAGTACGCTATAAATAAACAATATATAATTCCGAAAGTACATACACGACTAGATCACATATTCATGTAGAATTCGGAAGTAATTTTGGTATACCCAAGACGTACAAATATACAATTTGGCAATATAAACCCGAGGGCCCGTGCCCTCCGGCTTCCATACCTATCTGCTTACACAAGATGACATCAAGTCCAACAATATTACAATTGCATTACTAACTGCACTCAAGACTATTTACAGCTTAGATCAACCTTACCTAGTGAGGTAGTTCGGTATTCACACAAGCTAAATGCAGGAATCTCACCCTTCACAACCTCCTAATGCGACCTGCAGTCTAATGAACAACTGCAAGTTGCTTTCAAGAGGCGCCAGTGAGGCAAAGTTAGTGAGGCGGGGGCGGCGGCGGCGGAGGCTTGGGGCTCTGCGCCGTCTGGAAGGCTTGTGTAAACGCTGGCAGTCTCTGCTGGACCCTGCCCTCCTCGCCGGTGAATGTTGGCTCACTATCCTCTAATAGTCCTAGCATTTGGCTCGACAGACCGGAAGGGCCCTCGCCCGGATCCATCAATAGGGACTCTACATTCCCTGAATGGAGTAAGTGTGCTTCCATTGAGTCGGGCAGCTCCTGTGTCGACAAAAACGGCAAGTCCGTCGGCGTCTGGGTGTATGGTGGAGCTACCATAAACATCATGGGATACTCTACTGGAAGCAATGTACATCCTGGTGACCCCGGCTGCTCTAACTTTATGTCTAGGGATTCCTCCAACTTTATATCTATAGGTTCTACCTTAATATCGAGGTCGGGTGGAATTTCTACTATAATATCTGTAGAGGGCACCCGGGTTGGTTGACCACTCTCTGATGTACTCTCTTTGGGTGAGGGTGGTTTCCACATTGTAAAATCAGTACCTTCTATAGGATACTCGGTATAGGTTTCTTCAAATGCAGATGCCTCAGGTGGGGGCTCGCTGGATGTACCAACGGCTGCAGATTTCCATGATTCTTCAGGGTGAGCATTTTTTACATGCCGCACCAGATGGTCTTTACGCCCAAACTTTTGTGGGCAGTGAGGGCATAGGAAATCACGCCTGCCTGTATGGACGACAAGATGACGCCTTACATCCTTAGCTGTGAAAAACTTTCGATCACAATAGTTACATGTAAACTTCTTATCAGAATCATTTTTTACAGTGCGGCTTCCAGTATGGACTTTAAGGTGATATATTATATCTTGCCGAGTTGTAAAATTCATGTCACAAATTTTACACTGAAGATTGCCCTCTTCAGCAGAATGCAGGGCAGCATGTTTTCGAAAGCTCAAAAGGGAAGTGTAGGATTTTCTGCAATCTGGCCTTTCACATGTATAAAGCTTTTTAACTGGATTATGCACTCTTACATGGTTGGTGAGATGATCCTTACGATTGAAAGTCTTACCACATACATTGCATGCAAAGGCTCGTGCCTCACTATGTATCAAATTGTGTCGCACAAGCTTGAACTTGGAGTTGAAGCGTTTGTCACACAGATCGCAGGAGAAGGGCAGCTCGCCAGTGTGTGAAAGAACATGTTGGCTGAGCTTGCCAGGGCTGGAGAAGCGCTTGTCACAAGTGCTGCAGACATGGCGCTTTGCGTGGTCTTTGCGGCCACGCGACTCCCGAGCCTCGGGCAGTGACGGGCCGGGCGCGCTGCCCTCCCCCTCGCGCGGCCGCCGCGGCAGCGTAGGTATGCGGCGCGCCACTTTGACCGTCCGGAACAACTGTTTGATGCCGCTGGGGCCGGACGCACCGAGCGTCACGTACTGCAGCTTCGTGGGCAGCTGCGACGCGGGCGGCGCTATGAACGTCTTCTGCGGGGCGGCCGGGCGTTCCCCGCTCGGCTCCTCTTTGAACTCGGAGCCGCCCTCCTCGCCTTCCTTAGGGTTTGGTGGCGGGCTGGCCATCTCGCGCACATTTTTGACGCGCTTGCCCTATATCGCCGTTCGTTTATCTCGCGTCGTACTCGTATCGGCTCCGCGGTGGTGCTGGCTCGTCGTGATGGCAGAAAACATTTCTGTCACATTGACGGTCTGGAAGCCCTTTTTCGTATTCGTGTCACATGGTTCTCGCGGATTTTCTCATATCTGCAGTCGATTTTCACACAGCAATGAGTTTCACCCGCACCCCTAAGATACTTTTCGATTGAAAAAACTGGATTCAGATTGAAAACGGATAGAAAAATTACTTTTTTCAAAGAAATACGTAGCGCTTGACATCGAAATCACGAAATGTCAAAATAATGAAATGAAGCTAAAAGCCATGTCAAAAAAAGTCCGCCGAATCGTCAGCTGTGGTCCATTGACCTACATCTAGTGCTTTCAGTACTGCAACTGTTCAAAGAATTTTCAGCATCTAGCAATAAAAATTTTCGAAATTAATACAATCAAATATTAAGAGTATTCATGTAAATTAATGATCAATAGTAAAAATATTTTCCTGATCTTAGTTTGATCCCATTTACAACATTTTTATCTTATCTAAGTCAAATTAGTATGCTACTAAATTGAGTCATTATGAAACTGGAACGCACTATTTGATGTTCAATGTTCAATCAAGATTCAATCAAAAACCATAGTAAAAAAAGAATTTTTATTTAATAATCAAAGTTCAGACTGTAAACATGATTTTTTATCGTATCAAGCAAAACTTACTATAATGGATATCAAGAAACCAATAACGTTCTTTTCCAAAATCGTGAAGTTGTCCTTTACATCTTTTACACTACAACATTACTGGAGTCAAATGGCGATAATTTATTAATACGAATAATTTGTATACTATATTTAGCGTAAGTTCACACAATGGTGAGTGAACAGCCCATGGACACTTGAAACACTAGAAGATATCAAGCGCGCAACCCACCTTTAAAAAAAATTACACTGGTTTCTTGAGGGTATTATCGGTTCGGAAATACCGTGGCTGGACAAAAATACAATCTGGGCTAAAAAAAAATGTGCAGCACGGTTGTCGCAGTAGCTGGACTGCTGTGTAACGTGTCGGGGGTTCGATTTCCATCCGGAACAACAATTTGTGTGATTGTTGTTTTAGGTCTGGGTAGTTTATGTTTGTGAATTTGTATGTTTATAAACGCATCCACGAAACAGAAGAAGAAGAAGCCCTACTGTGCATTCATGCTAATTCTGTTTTACCTCTTGTCAGTGTACAGTAATCGCATTGTATTAATTATGCCGTGTTGTGCGAAGTATAGATTGTCGTCTAGAAGTTAACCATTTTCAGTTGCTGTTACAGGCCTCTCTAACAACATACTAACTGTAAATCATCCAACATCACGATAAGTTAGCATTTTCAAGTATTGTTTTAGAATAATAAATTAGAAACATTTATTTTATTTACACATCAGCACTTAATTTTGGTTAGTTGGTTCCAATTTAGTATGTTCAAAAAGTCACGTGTCCCATTTTGAAGCCGTATCCTTAATGTCTTTGCCAAAAAAACAAAACATTTCATTCGGTCAATTATTCAGTTCCCGAACTTATAGTCATCATTCATTCAATGTCAGTCAGTCAGTCAATCAATCGCTTTGAACTTGATAACCTAACTTTCAGTTTTTATTTAAGAATTGTAAATTACAAGCACTGTGGTGTTAGTTACTGATTTCGTGGTCAATTCCATAAGCATCTAAATTAACCAGGTGAGGAATACTGTGTACATTTATTCTCGGTGTTGTTACGTCAAATTACCTTGGTGCAAGATTCCTGTGTCCTTTGCATCTTAATTTGTTGGGTTTCTATTTCTATTGAAAAAAATACCGCTAATAGTTCACACTCCTGCATATTGAAGCTACAAATAGTGATAATAAATATACATAAATGTGCATTAATGGTGGGACGCGGAGGTCATAATATTCTAATTTTAGCGAATCAATTGTGTGTTGTTTGAAATACCTTCGCTCATATCTATGACGCAGGGGCTTCTCGTGTTATTTTCTTTGTTGAACGTTATTAAAGAAGTGTAAAATAAAACTATAACTTTTAAAATATTGGAAAACTTGATAGTCAAACAAAATAATAAATGCAGTTTAGCTATGTTTAGTAAATAACAATAAAAATATAACATTATGAAATCGATGATAGCGATTATTATCGGCCTTTGGACGCTACCCTAGTGTACCCTTGTCAACTATGTCAACTTTCAAAACACAGGAAAGTGTGAAAAGATAAGATATGATTTGTAATTAAAATTTCAAGTTTAAGTTTTATTTATTGTAAATGTTGATTTTTCAGTTGAATAAACTTTTGGTAGTTTTTAAGTTAAATAACTTCTTGTTATATCCTATACCTTTCTATTCTCTCTTCATCATCTCTCTATCTAAATTAAAATCATATTACTTCCATGCAGTATTTTTAAACAAAGGTATATTCTGCACAGTTTTTTGGTATGCAAGTTTCTAAAGAGGAGGAAAAAAAAAGTTCACTAGAGATTATAGTAACCATTGTTTACATACATATATGGCTTTCTTAATATTATGTACCTATTAGTATAACTAAAGATTGTGATGAATTAGTGAACTAATAAAATTAAGGTTTAGTCAATTATACCCAGGGTATTTTACTGAGAATTTATTTTCTTACCCCTATACTGTACTGTAACTGTGTAGAATAAATTAAAGAATTTTTATAAATCCTGTGTTAAAAGAATTGCCAACAACACTTTGATTTCTATATTCAAAACAAAGTAGGCTGCAAATCTCATGATCTCACTGGCCATTTCTTTTGGACTGAATATTCAAATTAAGAACCTTAATTCTTGAAATTCCAAATAAACACTGGCATTCACACACCTATTTTCTTGCTATTGTGTATCATATTATCACAATTGAAAGGTTAATATATCATATGGATTTATAGATGAAATTTCTCTATATAAGTATTTGTTTTTTGTGGCTTATGCCTTTCTATTTGTCACAAGTCTCAAAATGCTAACTAGGGTCGGATTTTTTTTTGTGAGGGGAATATCATCCTCAAATGACTTCTCCCGCCCAGCGGCCGGGCGGGAGGGAGTGTCAGACTCTTACTGACTAAAAACTCCCCTGTTCCTTCTCCTGCTCTGGGCTGAGGCTGCGGTGCCTCATTGCGACAAGGGTGGGGATGTCTTTTCCTTTCTGCTTACGCTAATGAATATGAGCCACAGTGTGACTTACAACTAAGTAAATATAACTCTATGTTTCGATTTTATAATTATGTTTGTAATAAAACAAATCCATGTGTGTGTTATTCTTAATTACCAAGTATCCAAATTGTAAGAAAATAAAACATAAAATTTTGAATAGTCATTATCAATAGGTGAGTCATTATAATATTGATTATAATGTACAAAATGTAGGGCAGCTAAGATATTTGTTTATGGTCAAAGGTTAAAAAAATATTACTTTTATATTTTCAATTACTTATATTGCTTTAAGGCTTTTTTGTAAGTCAACTAACAAATATTTAAAAAGTCTGCTAGACAAAGTATATTACTATTAAATATCTCACATAACTAAGTTGGATACTCATCAATAAGTCCATTTCTGCAGTTGGTATAGAGTTACCAAAGGCTAGTACAGTCCCAAAAAAGACTCCTTTGTAAAATAAAGCCACACACGAAAAAACAATAATAATTGAAGCAATGACTTATAAAAATTCTTTTTATTAATCTGCACCTTGCATATCTACAGAAACAATGTCTGAGCAGCAAGTAGCTTCAGCCCCAGCGTCCGCAGCCGTATCGGCCGCCAGTGTTGCAGACGAACAGCGCTCTAGCAGCGGGACCGTTGCAGGTACTGGAAATTATATGCACACAAAACTTTTTTCTTGACACATTACTTAGTTGTTCTGTTATTTTATCCTATCCTATAATATGTTTTTCATTTCAGGTAGCACTTCTGGCAGTGCAGTCGGTTCAACTGGTCCTGAAGAGAAATTATATGGAGGATGTGAAGGTCCCAACGCCATGTATGTGAAACTCATCTCCTCGGACGGCCATGAGTTCATAGTGAAGAGGGAACATGCGCTAACTTCAGGCACTATCAAAGCTATGTTGAGTGGACCTGGACAGTTTGCTGAGAATGAGGCCAACGAAGTCAACTTTAGAGAGATACCGTAAGTTATTTTATAGTAGAAATATTTGTAAAAGTAGGTTATAGACCTTTTGTGAAGATAAGCTAATGTTTTGGTTTGATGACCAGTCAATATCAAGAAAAAATTTAAAAAAATATTAATGTAATATGAAAGGTTTAAGACACTTTTGTTAGTAGTGGATGTACAGTATGATGATGATGTAAGGTAATCAGTAAATGAGGCTTCACATCACGGAACGGCTTTTTGTTGTTTGTTTATTTACAGATCCATTTTAAGACTCAATGTCGAGTCTAACTTAGATGTAAGCTAGAGAAAATAACGAAGGATATGTTCTATTTTAGAAGGTACTAGCTACTCTCGCGCGGTTTCACTCGCTGCTCGGCTCTATTTAATCGTAGCCTGTTGTTTTATAGCCTATAGCACTCAAGAACATTGTAACTATCAGTGAAAGAATTTTGGGAATCCGACCAGCGATTCCAAAAATTACCCTAATTACAAACTTACAAATTTTACCTCTTTATAATATTGGTATAGATTAACAAACAAAATTTTTATGTTATTTTTTATTCTCGTTTCCAGCTCCCACGTTCTCCAGAAGGTGTGTATGTATTTCACATACAAAGTTCGTTACACAAACTCATCGACGGAAATCCCTGAGTTCCCGATCGCCCCTGAAATTGCTCTCGAATTGCTGATGGCTGCTAACTTCCTTGACTGTTAAAGAGTACAGCTTTGTACCGGTAGATGGCGTTAGTGCGATGGCCACCAAAGAGGTTGGCTGAGAATTAAAGTATGTAATTAAAACTTAAAAGCTGTCTGAAAAGATCTCTTAAAATATTTAGGGTTCCTCACTCATGTATTGTAATATTGTAATAAAAGAAACATTTTTAATAAGTAAATTAATTGAAGTTATTATTTTTTTATTTAGCAGACAGTGTTATTAGTTTTTTTCGCCATACCTTTTAATTACTTGAGTTGTCATCGCAACGTGTCTCACTAGCGCCAGTGATCAAAGCGATCACACTATGAGATCAGTTCACACACAATTCGTGTGATATTTTGTATTTTAACGGTAGGAATTTATTACGAAAAGCTACCGACACTCCTAGGTAAATAGTGGATTATATATGTACTGGTATCAGATGTTTATATTTTTACTAGACAGGGAAGATAACAAGAAATAGCAAGGTTAGCTAAAGGTAATTAACTCTTGAATTTAAATGAAGGAATGTAATTAATGAAGGATTTTCTATGTTCTAATTCTCTATTTTTTGCTTTCTGTGGTGTAGCACATCTGTAATAAATTTTTGTACCCCACTTTGCTTACCCCGTTTAGAGGAATAACATGGCAGACTTCAAATTATAATTTTCTCTTTAAATTTGCAAACGATATTAAACTTATGTTGTAGTGATATTTTCGAATAATTGGATTATCCTGGATATGGACAAAAACTAATGTTGAAATTAGTGTATTACTTTTGACGAGCCTGCGACTCCGGTGGGCGTCCATATGCGGCGCTGATCACTTACCATCACTTAATCCGTGTCCGTGTTTGCTTCCCATACCATAATGAATTGATCCAGAAATTTCGTATTATGAGTAAACCTTCTATTCTATAAATAATCAGTCGTTTTTTTCGCTGTCTAGATGGAGCTAGTTTGGTTATCGTCTGTTCGTCCAATCAGAAATTAGCTCATTTCATACCATTAGACAAACTTAGATTAGCGCCATCTAGTGTTAAAAAAAGGTGACCCTCTATAATTTTCAACTTGCCAATTATTTTAGGTGAAAATTGTACAGCGAATATACTTATTTATTTATGGATAGAAATAATAATCGTATCGTTTCTTGCTAGTATGTCAAGGGTGGACGCCAACAGTGTTTTAAAAAGCCCTTTCATACTTTATGGTGTGTGAGCGGAAAATGTAACAAAGAATTTAATATTTTTTTTTAGCGAAGTCTGATTTCCTTTGTATTATAATTTTTAGTAGACGAAAAATTGTACCTATTTGTCATTTTTGTACATACCATTAGTCTGTGTTGTAGGAAATGATTTTTACCTAAAATCCTTCAGTATAATCACTGTAATAGATACTTTTAGCAGTTTGTTCGTAAAACGAGTGTTTTTGGAACTTAAACCTTCTTGCACTAAAATCCAACGATATTTGCATTGAACAAAATTTTTATGAAGATATTAAAATAATATACTGGTATTGTTTCTGGTTTCTTACAATACGCAAAAGCGTTTTATAAAAAATTGTTTTTATGTACGGAAAGTAAATGTAAAAATAGTATGTATACTTCTACTTGTGGTTTTGTGTGATCTATCTATAAACAGTGATATTTCGAGACACAATAGTAAGACAATAGGTGCGCTAACGCCGGCGTTCGCTTGGGGTTTGATGAGTTAATTCTAAAGTACGTTCATTTTATGAACAAACTAAAACGAAATGTTTAGTGTAGAGTTTCGCATTTATAGAGCACTTTTTACGTTCAAAAACCAAAAATGCTATTCGCTAGTTAGATGCGGGAGATCTTTCTCTATTGCCACTAAAACTTGTTATATTAATCTGTAGGTAAATTTCAGCAAATAAAAACTTTTCGAGCTCGAAATGAATAAATATTATAAAATATTGTTTTGGTATCTCTTTTCTACACAAAATGTTTGAAAAGGACGGATTACTTTCAATAAATTGTATACATACTTATCTTCTGTCCTTTTTTAACATATTAAAATAACAGCTGTAAGAAAGAGACAGCTTTGTTATATAATGTTTATTTATTTCGATTTTAAATGTGATTTTCTACACAAATGAATGCTTCAAAAACCGAATTGCTACAATGTGATTACCTATTTATTTTGTCAAGTGTCACTAAAACATTAACCAAATCGCAACGTTTAGCTTTTTATTTTGTTATTAAACCGTAAATTTATATTCTGTTGTTTTATTTGCGACCAATTCGTTATTTACACGAGCACATTAATACCCAATGCTTAGTGTTATATTCTTGTGTCTTCGTATCATTTGAAAGAAGAACGAAAATTAACACTCGCATCTTGCAAAATTATGCGACCCTAGTACTTTTTGTCTAATTTCTACGGTTAGCTGTAGAGAACGCATATGCGCGATTACATTGCAACACGACGGTGCCCCTGACGCCCATCTAGTGTACTATTCTTCTAACATCGCACCATCAGCCTGCGAGTGCTCACTACTGAGCAAAGGCCTCTTCTCACACTGAGAAGGTTTGAGCGTTAATCACCATACTTGCTGAAGGCGGAAGATTTCAAACTTATAATTGAATTTTATAAGTCCAGGTTTATTCATGATGTTTTCCTTCACCGTACCTATGTCTAAATAAACACAGAAAGTACATATTTATAACTCAGAAAAAAGCACATACGCCTTGCCAGGTTTCCAACTCGCTCCCTCATGCATGAGATGCCTTAGCCTCCGGGCCACCACGACGTCTATGCGTGCTATTTTACTTCGTACAATTTCAACGAAGCCTTTTTAATCGAACTGCTCAGATATCGTAACGTTTGTCAAGTTTTTACCCTCAGTGGCCACGACGCGACGCGAATGTACTCTACTTAGATACGTAACAGAAATCAGTACCAGTGCTATTACTGGCGTTCATGTAAATAAGATCAAGGAGATGTGAGGCATATATTGCAGCAGGATATAAGTAGTGTGTGTGTAACAGACCAAAATCATTTGTTAACTGACAATTTGTATGTGGAAATCCAAAACCTAATTTTCCGACGAACGTAACGATACTCATATTTGAAGATGGATGAACAGGATTGGAATAATCTTATTTATTTATATGTATATAATTTGGAATGGTTCAAGAGGAAGGACGCAAACATTAGATATGTCAGCAATAAAGGCAAACAGATGGCGCCCCTGACCCATTGTGACGTCACATTCAAGGCTTAGCAAGTGGACGTAACAATATAACAGTAAAGATTGAACTTTTTCTTTCTTACTTTTGCTTCTTTGAACTTGAAATTCGGTTATTTTGTTTTATTACATATATCATCTAGTAAAAGCTAATTCAAAGAATGCCATTACCCCGTATTCCGGTCATTTGACTACTTATACTACCCTATCTACTTATATCCTTCTTAGATTGCTTTTTAAGAACGCCTCAGACTGGAATTCTATTTTGACCACCCACCGTTTGTCGTCCTGTTTCTATATCCAGTGCTAACGCAGAAAAGGTACAGCGGCCTGGGTCTAAAGCACTAGATGGGAAGGGGGTTTTAAGTCGGTAAGACACTTCTTTTGGCCAAACCCTGGGCGAGAGAAAGCATTTGATGATTTTTCCCTTACTACAAAAAGACTGGAGCTATGTATATAATGCGACCCGACACTTTTCGTCTTGTTTTTGCACTTAGTGCTAACGACGCCAATGTGCATTCATTTCATCCTAAGATTAATTGAAATTGAAACGAACGGCTCAGACCTCTTGCTGTATTATGCGACTCTAGTTTTCTTTCTACAGACAGTGCTGACGACGCTAATGTGCGTTTCATTCTTGTGGTTTTATAAAAATGCCTCAGACTGGTACTAACGACGCAGGGTGTAGAAACAAGAACGTCGCCAGTGCAAACGCTAATGTGCGTTCATATCATTTTTAGATTGTTTGTAACAAATGGTTCAGACTTCTTACTGTATTATGCGAGCCTAGTCTTATTTCTTTACCCAGTGCTAACGACGCCAATGTGCGTTCATGCCATGTTTACATTGATATAAGATAAACGTCTCTGACGGGAATTCCATCATGCGACCCCAGCACTTGCAGTAGGTACTTTTACACAGTGCTATTGACCCAAATGTGCGTACATGTCATTCTGAGATTGTTTTATAAGGACGGCCCATACCGAAACTCTATTACGCGAATGAAGTAGCACTTTATGTCCTGTGGCTGCACCCAGTGCTATCGACGCACATATGCGTTCATGTCATTCTTAGATTGTTATCTTCGAGCGGCTCAAACCTCTTGTTGTATTATGCGAGCCCAGTCTTATTTGAACAGCCAGTGCTTACAACGCTTATGTGCCTTCATGCCATTCTTGTTGTTTTATAAAAACTCTTCAGACTTGTATTGATGACACAGGGTGTAGAAACAAGCAGGTAGTCAGTGCAAACGCTAATTTGCGCTCATATCATTCTTAGAATGTTTTATACGAACGGCTCAGAAATCTTGCTGTATTATGCGACCCTAGTCTTATTTCAACAGACAGTGCTAGCAACGCAAATGTGCGTTCATGTCATGTTTACCTACATACGAACGGCTCAGACTGGAAAGTACTTTTCGTTTTGTTTTTACACTTAGTGCTATCGACCCAAATGTGGGTTCATGTCATTCTGAGATTGTTTTATAAGGCCGGCCCAGACCGGAGCTCTATTACGCGAATGAAATAGCACATTTCGTGTTGTTGCTGCACCCAGTGCTATTGACGCACATATGCGTTCAAGTCATTCTTAGATTGTTATCTTCGAACGGCTCTTGCTGCTCTTGCCTCTTGCTGTATTATGCGAGCCTAGTCTTATTTCTACAGCCAGTGCTGACGACGCTAATATGCGTTTATGACATGTTTATATGGTTTTAAAAAGAACGGCTCAGACTGGAACTCTGTTTTGGCGAATCAGCACTTTTTGTCTTGATTCTACATCCAGTGCTAACGACGCACACCAGCGTTCATGTCAATCTTAGATTGTTTGTAACAAATGGCTCAAACTTGTTGCTGTATTATGCGAGCCTCGTCTTATTTCTTTACCCAGTGCTTAAGACACCAATGTGCGTTCATGTCATTCCATGATTGTTTTCCCTGAACGGCCCCAGGGCTCTTGCTGTATTATACGAGCCTAGTCTTATTTCTACACACAGTTTTGACGACTCAAATGTGCGTTCATGTCATTCTTGTGGTTAAATGAAAACGGCTGAGACTGGCACCAAATACACTGCGTGTAGAAACAAGAAGGTCGCCACTGCAAACGCTAATATGCGTTCATATCATTCTTAGATTGTTTTCTTTCTTCGAATGGCTCAGAATTCATGCTCTATTAGTGCGACCCAGCACTTTTCACGTTATTTCTAAGTACACCCAGTGCTAATGACGCACATGTGCGTTCGTGCCATTTGCCATAATGGTTTTTTATGAACAGCTCAGACTGGGATTCCATTATTGCGACCCTATTACTTTATGGGTTATTTCTACAGTCAGTGCTAGCAACCCTATTACTTTACGTACCATTTCTATACCCAGTGCTATCGACGCCAATGAGCGTTCACAATACAGCATTAATCCTCATTCAATTGAATGCCTTAAATTAATTGTGCATAGGGACGTAGTTGTTGCGGCGGTACCGACTACCGACTTGGCTTGGTTCCGGTGGCGCGTGCCTATTGAGAGTTGAGCGTTTTTCATAATATATGTCGTGCTGTCAAGAGTTACCTCTAAGCAAAACATGTTTGTATTGTCTAATGAGAAAAGGCATGAACGTTGTGTATAAAGACATTTCGTAGTGGCTATACATTGCATTGCACCCGTGCGAAGCCGGGGCGGGTCGCTAGTCATTTATAAGGACGATTCAGTTTGGAATTCTTCACGGTAATAATATACAGACTGGAACTCTATTAGTGCGACCCAGCACTTTTCATGTTGTTTCTACGCCCAGTGCTAACGACGCACATGTGCGTTCATGTCATTCTTAGAATGTTTTATATGAACAGCTCAGTATGGAACTCTATTACGCGACTCAGCACTTTTCGTCTTGATTCTACAGTCAGTGCTATTGACGCACATAAGCGTTCATGTCATTCTTAGAATGTTTTATATGATGGCCCAGACCTCTAATGACCTCTTTCTGTTTTATGCGAGCCCAGTTTTCTATCTTCAGACAGTGCTGACGACGCTAAATTGCGTTCATGTCATTCTTGACGTCTTATAAAAAACGGCTCAGACTGGCACTAACTACACTGGGTGTAGTAAAAAGAAGGTCGCCAGTTCAAACGTTAATGCGTTCATATCATTCTTAGATTGTTTTCTTCGAATAGCTCAGAACTCTGCTGTGTTATGCTACCCCAGTCTTATTTCTACAGACAATGCTAGCAACGCAAATGTGCGTTCATGTCATGCTTAAATTGTTTTATACGAACGGCTCAGACTGGAACTCTATTACGCGACACTTTTCGTTTTGTTTATTTATAACCGTCTTCCCAAAAGGAGGGAGGTTGTCAATTCGACTGTATATTTATACTTATGTTTTTTTCTATGTTTGTTCGCCGATATCTCCAGTATTTATGAACCGATTTCTTACACCCAGTGCTATTGACGCAAATGTGCTATTCTGAGATTGTTATTTAAGGACGGCCCAGACCGGAATTCTATAAACGACTGCACTAGCACTTTTCGTCCTGTTGCTGCACCAGTGCTATCGACGCACATATGCGTTTATGTCATTCTTAGATTGTTATCTTCGAGCGGCTCAGACCTCTTGTTTTATTATGCGAGCCCAGACTTATTTCTAGAGCCAGTGCTAAAGACGCTAATGTGCGTTCATGTCATGTTTATATGGTTTTAAAAGAACGACTCAGGCTGGATGGAACTTATTTTGGCGACCCAGCACTTTTCGTCTTGATTCTATACCCAGTGCTAACGACGCCAATGTGCGTTCATGTTATTCTTAGAATGGTTTATGTGAACGGCTCAGACCTCTTGCTGTATTATGCTACCCTAGTCTTATTTCTACAGACAGTGCTATAGACGCCAATGTGCGTTCATGTCATGTTAAGATGGTTTTATAAGAGCGGCTCAGACTGGAACTCTATTATAAATTGATTTTACACCCTGTGCCAACGACGCACATGTGCGTTCATGACACGTTTAGATTGTTTGAAACGAACAGCTCACCTCTTGCTGTATTATGCTACCCTAGTCTTATTTCTACAGACAGTGCTATCGACGCCAATGTGCGTTCATGTCATGTTAAGATGGTTTTATAAGAGCGGCCCAGACTGGAACTCTATTATAAATTGATTTTACACCCTGTGCCAACGACGCACATGTGCGTTCATGACACGTTTAGATTGTTTGAAACGAACAGCTCACCTCTTGCTGTATTATGCTACCCTAGTATTTTTTCTACAGACAGTGCGATCAACGCCAATGTGCGTTCATGTCATTGTTTAGATGGTTTTATAAGAGCGGCTCAGACTGGAACTCTATTATAAATTGATTTTACACCCTGTGCCAACGACTCACATGTGCGTTCATGACACGTTTAGATGTCATTCCATGATTGTTTTCCCTGAATGGCTCAGGGCTCTTGCTGTATTATACGAGCCTAGCCTTATTTCTACACACAGTTTTGACGACTCAAATGTGCGTTCATGTCATTCTTGTGGTTAAATGAAAACGGCTGAGACCGGCACCAAATACACTGCGTGTAGAAACAAGAAGGTCGTCACTGCAAACGCTAATATGCGTTTGTTTTCTTCGAACGGCTCAGACCTCTTGTTCTGTTATTACGACCCAGGACTTTTCATGTTCATGTTTATCTTGAAGCGGCTTAGACTGGAACTGGAACTCTATTAGTGCGACCCAGCGGTTTTCACGTTGTTTCTACACCCAGTGCTAACGACGCACATGTGCGTTCATGTCATTCTTAGATTGTTTGAAACCAACAGTTCACCTCTTGCTGTATTACACTTATTTCTACAGCCAGTGCTAAGGACGCCAATGTGCGTTCATGTCATGTTTAATTACATTGTTTTATAGGAACGGCTCAGTATGTAACTGTATTACACAACCTAGTACTTTTCGTATTCTACAGCCAGTGCTATCGAGGCCAATGTGCGTTCGTGCCATTTGCCATGATGGGTTTGTAAGAATGACTCAGACTGGAACTCTATTATTGTGACTCATCACTTTTCGTTTTGATTTTATACCCTGTGCTAACGTGCATTCATAATATTCTAAGATTTTTTGAAACGAACAGCTCTCCTCTTACTGCGACCCCAGTCATATTTCTACAGACAGTGCTAGCAACGCAAATGTGCGTTCATATCATGTATACAAGATGATATATAAGAACGACTGAGTCTGGAACTCTATTATGCGATCCAGCCCCTTTTAGTCTTGATTTTACTAAGTGCTAACGACGCACATGTGCGTTCATGGCATGTTTAGATTGTTTGAAACGAACAGTTGACCTCTTGCTGTATTATGCTACCCTAGTCTTATTTCTACTGAAAGTGCTAGCAACGCATATCCGCGTTCGTGCCATTTGCCATGATGGTTTTGTGAGAACGGCTCAGACGGGACTTCATAATTACAACCTTAATACTTTACGTATAATTTCTTCACCCAGTGCTTAAGACGCCAATGTGCGTTCTTATCATTCTTAGATTGTTTTATACGAACCGCTCAGAACTCTTGCTCTATTATGGCAACCCAGCTCTTTTCGTCTTGTTTCTAGAATCTGTTATCGACCCCAATGTGCGTTCATGATATGATTTTAACATGTTAATAAAGAAGTTTTATAAAATCATTGCGTTCATGTCATTCTTAAAATGTTTTTTACGAACGGCTCAGACCTCTTGCTGTATTATGCTACTCTAGTCTAATTTCTACAGTCAGTGCTAGCAACGCAAATGTGCGTTCGTGCCACTTATAAGAACAGCTTCAGACTGGAACTCTATTATGCGATGCAGCCCTTTTTGTCTTATTTCTGCGACCCCCAAATGCTGTAGGTATTATTTAAGAATATTATAATTGTCGACATCATTAATGTAGTTTTAAATGAAAGGAAAAAGAAATATAAGTCAAAAGCGTAAATTTGTTTTTGTGGAAGGAAAATCATCAAATGACTTCTCTAGGGTATGGCAAGAGGGAGTGTCTATGAAGCAAATAAAACAAAACTCGAATGATTGACTTGTCCTTTATTCAATGCGTAAAGAAAAACCGGTCCACCATTATTGGATATTTGGAAAATAATCTCGGGCAGCTCACTACAATAATATATCGACTACGTACTGCTTACTATAACCATTATACTTTGGAATGATATCCTGCTTACTTCTAACACATTAGGAAAATCAACTTTACAAATAAACCAAGAGACGTCAATAAATAAATTCTGATTTCATTAATTACAAAACTAATCGATTTAACGTACGCTACAAATTCCAACTGAGATCTAAGCTTATAATAAAAACTTTGGATAAAAAAATTATAGTAACAATTATTATTATTGACAATTTGTTTTGTACATTTTTACAAAGAAAATACATTTCAAATCCGGCTGAATACTGAGTGAGAATGTAAACGGTTAAATGCAAAAATGTTACAATATGTTGTGACATGTAAACGCACCTTAACTAACGAAAAATATACACGCTAACTCGCAATAATACATTTTACATTAAACATAATACTTTCTAATCAATTTCGAAAGATATAGGGTAATTATTGTTCTATGGAAGAATTCATTCTTATACATACGCACCAGTAATGGTTGAGTATAAAATCTGCAACACCGTTACACCAAAAATATAAAATTTGTATGAAAAATAACTACAAAACTTACTCATTAGGTGCATGTTTGAGGAATGTGCTGACTGTACTGCGTTACATAGCCGTTCTTATTATAAAAAAGTATTCAAATTTTATTGGCAATAATATCACAAATCAATATTATCATGATTTCCACAAACAGTTCTGTGTGACAACGCTATGGTAGATGAATGATGTAGAATGAAGATATGTCGAATAATAATTTCACGAATAGGCAACACCACGTATTTATTTGAAGCACAACAATGCTAGGCCCTCGTTCTTTATTATTTATAACGTTATCTTAAATGTTCAAGGTAATCCCGCCAAAAGTTTGACAAATAAAAAATCCTTAAATTTGGCGCCATAATAATCAAATGCCGCCATTTTGAAATGATTATGACAGGGGCTGTCAAATATCAAAATCCTGTAAAGTATGGTATATAGGATAGTAGTAAAGAATAGGTACATTGAAACAGTTTTAAATAATAAGAACTAGGTGCCCCGATGATATGTAAATAGATATATATCACTAGATGACCAACATATAGTTCTATGTATAGTTGTTATATTCACGTAAATAGCGCTCCACAAAAAAAAGCTTTCAAAAAAGCAAAAAATAACCTCATACGCATCTACAAAGATACAAAAATATTTTAGCAGTGGAAGTGCAACTGTGTTTTGTAATTTAGGCCATAACTTTTAGGCAAGTACATTTATATTAATTTACGATAAATTATTTAGTTTCAATTGACTTTCCGTACATCGTTAGGGGTTAAATAAGTATTATATTTAGATTGCCAGTACAAAATACTGAAGATTTTCGTTATGTATTCTGCCTTTCCACTGCCATTTCGTCGCGCCATTTACGTAAATGTAACAGTAATAAACAGTTAATGTATATGAACTCCGATTTAAACGAATGCGAATGGATGGATACAACGACAATTATTTGGCTCACTTAATTCGCTACAGGTAATATTGAGCATTATTTGTCTTTTCCAAATGAACGTCGCACTATAGAATTCAAGCGGCAAACGAAATATCTATGAGCATATCCGGATAAGTACACTAGTCGTTCTAATATTACGTCATAGCCTATGTAAAGCTGTCAACGTCAGACGACGTAAAAATAAAAATTGCCACTACAAGCGAGAAACTTCAAAAGGTCATTCAACCTTGATCGGTGTGACCAATGTTTTGATCGAGAGGTATCATTTTTTTGCTGACGGAATAGATAGGGGGGGAGTCAAGTTTGCCGGAGATGGCTTGAACACGACTTTTGACTGACTCCATGGGGGCGGAGTCTACTTTCACGTCATCGGAGCTTGATGACGAGTATTGGAAGGAGGAGGCTTCGGTGTTGCCGTAGATGTGTTGAGGTTCTCTGACGTTGCCGTAGAGGTTGTAGTTGTGGATGAGGGTGGACACCCTGTTCGGGGCGGCGGGCAGGCTGCTGTGCTCCTTGGCTGGCTGCTCCGTGACAATGAGCTGGCTCGTCGTCACTGGCTGGTTAACCTTGAAGTCGGGCTTCGGAGGGGGCGTCTCATCCTCTTGCACAGATGACTGGTTGCTTAACACCGGGTTCTGTGGTATACACACCTGATTCTGAGGCGCGAACACTTGGTTCTGGGAGGTTAGAGTCTGGTTCTGTGGGGTTGCCACCTGTAAAAAATAATTTCTACTGATATTTTAAAGTTGCTAGTAAGAAAAATATAATAATAAAAAATATAAAAATGATACTGACTACATACTACCGACTACTGAGATGCTGCATGCAAAAAATAAAAAAGAAATATATTAATAAAATGTGAATAGTTTTTTTGAATTGTGGTGATTCTAATATGGACGTCACAAATACTTTTACTATGTAAACTATATAGTCTTAATGCATTCCCATAATAACTACAATTACTTTCTAATCATTCCAATTGCATTCAAATATAAATAGGTAAAATCAATAAAATATTTCTTAACATTTCCACCCTGATCTGATCGAAAGAGCTTTACACCATAGCATATACTGACGGAACGTTAATCATGAAATAATTGACAAATTAATATAAATATTTTCATTCACTCAGCCCAAAGTAGAACTTCACTATAAGTAGAATCAATTTATGCGTAAAAACTTTAATTTTAGATGATTAAAAGAAGTACAGAATCAATAATAATATTACGTCTTCTATTTATACAATTATAGGAACAAATAGATAAATTTCTCAATAGGTCACTTGCTAACACCATCATTAAACCACTAAGGGCTGATTTTTCAAAAGTCTGATAAACGTTATCTGAGGAACAAAATTGTTGCTGTCATTGACTTATACAAACATTCTGACGCGACAGCATCACAACTATTCCCCAGATAACTTTTATCTAACCATTAAAAAATCAGCCCTTAAACATTTAAACATCATTAAAAAACGCACAGATAACAAATGCAAGTGTAAAACCTCTTCCGATTCCCCAAACGTCCACAGATAACAAAATAAAAATCATAAACAAAAAATAAACCCCGGGGCACACTTACCTCATTCGTCAGCATGCGACACTAACCTGCGCGTTAGGACTGCTTGGTTCCGCCGGGGGCTGTAAGGCGGCGCGCCAGTCGATGTTGGGGTGTCTCTCGCGGATACAGTCTACCACGTCCAACAAGTTCTTAGCGTCCATAGCTAAGATATGAGCGGCTGCTAGCATGTTCCTGGAAATTAAATTGAAAAAGGTATTTACTCTTGTTTTTTTTGTACATACATGGTAAGCTCGGAATATGGCAAAGGGACATATACATTACATTTTAAAGATAACTGCTTTAAAGTGAGTGTTTCAATAATAATAATAATTAATATTTTAAAATCAGTTTATATTATTCACTTTCCTCATTTTTTTAGGAATAAGTTTATCCTTTGGTAGTAATCCGTTCCGTACTTTTAAGGATATATAAACCGTATGGTGGAACCATACACTAGTAATACGCTAAAGTCAATTGTGGAACTTGTTTCAATATAGTTTACTAGCTACTTGCTCCGGCTTCGAATGGGTGCATTGCTGATACTAAGTTTCTCCACTATTAAATGGTATCTTACTAATATTATAAATGCAAATGTTTGGATGTTTGTTACTCAATCACGCCAAAACGGGTGCACGGATCTGGACAAAATTTGGCACAGGCAGGATACACTCCGGAATAGAACATAGGCTACTTTTTATCGACATACCACGCGGGCGAAACCGCGAGCGGAAGCTAGTTATACATATAATTCTGCCTCTTTAAGCACCATATCTAGAAGCCAATTATACATATAAAACCTCTTTAATTTATCTATTAAAAAACCGCATCAAAATACGTCGCGTAGTTTTAAAGATTAAAGCATACATAGGGATGAAGGGACAGAGAAAGCGACTTTGTATTATACCATGTAGTGAATATGTATGTATGTATACTAACTTAGTGTACTCATGCTGCAGCGTAGTGTTGTGGTACTGTATGGCGAGTCGCATGGCCTCCACCAGCGCCGCCATGTCCTTGCTCAGCACCTGGTGTGCCATCTCCACCTCCCTGATCAAATCAAAATGGATTTTATTACAAAATAAAATAAAATAATATTTATTTGCAGAGACACGGTATTACAAGTTGTTATTGGAGTTTAGTTAGTACAATTTTTAATTAGTACACATATCTCACCGATCAATCGGTATGCAAATTTTGAGTAGGTAATTATTTAATATATACAATTACATAAGAATAATAATAATTCTTTCTATCCTTGAAAAGTTGTTTGTAGGCGTTAATTGAATTTAGAAAATTAATGCGACACATTTTCACGTTAGTATGTGTAAAGGTTTGGATCTTGTGGATGTTTGCCACGTCATGGCAAGCGTGTAAACGTGCGAGTAGATGTTAGCGTATTCGCTATGGGCAAATCGATCGTAGCGCACGACGTGGCAGAAAAGTGAATTAGTTCTGGACTGTCAGATGTCAAATTGAAACTCGTCGAAAATCAATATCTTATCATCTAGTTGACATGATTTGACAGTTGACAAGTCCTGAATAGTTGCGGCCACTAGGGGCGCTGTCATTGCGCATACAATGAAATGAGAAGTGTGTGTGTACCTCTGCGCATGTTGCGGGAAGGGCACGACGACGGTGTCGACGGTGGCGCAGAGATGGCGCAGGTCGGCGCCGACGGCGCGCACGGCGGCGAGCAGCGCGGCCGCGCCGGCGCCGCCCGCCGCCGCGCCCGCCAGCCGCATCACGCACCGCACCACGTCAGTCGTCGCGCTGTACACCGGCTCCGACGGGTTGCGACCACACTGCGACAAACATATTCACTTACAATCAGTTATAGATCGGCAAACGAGCAGACGAAATACCTAATGGTAAGCAATCACATACGTTGCCGACCTTTTGGGGATTAGGGATTTGGAGATTTAGGAATTAGGGCAGAGGAAATGGGCCTCCGGTAACTTCACTCACACAGTGAGGCCAATGCAAAAATAAAAATCAGCAGTTTTTTATAATTCTTGTATTAGTGGCGCTACTGTCGCTTGAGGTCTTGTTAATCAAGAAAACAGAACATTGGCATATTTCGTATGATGCTTATCTCTAAATAGTTCATAAGATCTATTTACTAATAAAACTTAATTAATATTTATACAGGGTGTAATTCTAGCAGCTCTGAACTACATAATATATGTATATTTGAATACAGAACGTAATTTATATGAACTATGAGCCACATAGATTTATCGGGAACTTACATAAAGGTGGAGGGAGTATCAGGCGCAAAAACAAACAATTCTAAAGTTTAACCTAAGTACTAAAAATTTTTTTTTGTTTATCTTACCTTATCTTCGCTCGGTGGTCGTTCTTTGGATACAGTATTAGCAGGACTCGTCTCGGCAGACGTCGTCGCTGAAGGTATAAAAGAAATGCATTACTCACATCAATTCTAAATTAGATTTTTTCCAGAAAAATCCTACTATTTGTAGGTACATGTTGCGGACTTAATGCGTTAAGCAGAATGTACGATAATGTAAAAAATTACATATTAGGTTTTATAATAGGTCTTTACCTATGAAATTGCCGTTCTGCAGTACTGGCCATTTCAAATCAAAATAGTTTTTGTTAGGCTAAGGCTAATTAATTTTGTTTTAAAAACATGGGGTTCGTTTTCCAAAAGTAGTCATTTGTTTATTGATTAGTTTTCATATGTACATTTTCATCGCATTTCAAATCAAAAAAATCGTTTAAATTTTTTCATGCAAAACGGTTTCATTGGTAAAAGACCTATTATAAAACCTAATATGTAAATTTTCAACGTCGCCAGCGGTTTTGTACATTTTACACTTTTTCAAGTTTTTTTTTTAATTTTGACTACGTACATAGAACTACTACTTCAAGTATCTACGTACAGAGAAGGTTTCTCTGGACTTCCAGGAATATTAAAATCAAGACCGAAATTGGCAAAATAAGTACAGGCATTGTTGAGTTATAATATTACAACGAAAAGTGGCATTGATTTTTATATATTATGATATAGTACAGTATTCTTAGATTGGAAATCCTACTGTAACTTTTGAATATATGTAAAGAAGCGTTGTTTTTCTAATCTCAAGGAATATTGACATCTACAGTATAGTACTTAATGTTCAATTTACCTGAATGTGGTTGACTAGGTGCTCTCTGTTCATTGGTGTTAGTGACGTCTGGCTTCTGTTCAGTGCCCGGTTCAGACTCGGTCGATAGTTGCACGTTGGACAAGCGCTTTTTCTGTTTTATTTAATTTTAATTAATATTAATTAATTTTAATTAATTATTAATTAATATGAGATTATTTTACTAAACCAATTTCAACTTTATTACAAAAGAATAGAGTTTAAAATGTATTAACCTATTTCTTTCTGTTTATAATTATGCATTTGAAATCGCGGGTCGCTGGTCTAAACTATTTTGTTCCTATTACTTCACAATATAAGATTCATAATAGCATCATCAGCCTTGGGTATACAGAAATAAAAACACTGTAACGGTTTAATTATGATCCTAATAGTTATAACGATAAAGTACAAATTTTGATTAAGAAAAATATTATTTACCAAGTTCTCCTCTTGCATTTGCAACCATCTTCTGTCTTCTTCGCTTTGATGTTGTTGTCTCGCTAGTTCGGCTAGCAATCGCCTTTCAACCGCTTGCTCGCTATCGCATTCTGGACTCTGTTGCACATATAAAATAAGAGCTATATTTGACTGTTCTTTGTGCCTTTATGTTAAAAATATTATAATATGTATTTATAAAGTCAAACTCAAGTCTATTTTAATTTCTTAGAAACAGACCTTTATTTCATTTGCTTTAAGATTATTTTTTGTATATCAATGTTATGGCGTTTTACGTGTTTCTATAGAATTGAGTTTGATTGCTAGAAAATGCTTTCACGTGCAATTTTTGTGCTTTTCCATAGAACTAACATTGCTGTTAGTGACATTTTTATTATATACAATTTTGTACAATTATTACCATGTTTTAGTAAAAAAATTATTGTTAAACCAGATTGTGTAATGTACCAGAAATTTCCAAAAAATATTCACAATTCCAACCACAATGTTAGTTCAGGATCTTTTTAGATAAATAAGAAAGTCAATTGTCAAAACCAAAATAAAAAAAAAACATTTTCACAAATGAATTTTCAAAAAATATTAAATAAATATATGAATAACAAAAAAATAAATAAAAAACCGACACACTACCGGAGAAACCCAATATGTCACAAAAAATCTGAAAACAAAAAGAAAATACCAAAAGAAAAAAGAAAACAATAAAATATGAAACAAAGACAATTAAAAAATATATATATTTACACACACATACACCTCTCCCTTGGTGGGGATGGGGATTGGATATTTACAAATTAATATGGAAAAATCATTTTGACATTTCAATGTCAAATGTCAAATGTTATGTCAGTCGCCACTTTTTACACTTTCCTTCTAATATATTTTGTCCGAAACTAAACCATTTTAGTGCTATAACATCTTTTAAAAAACATTTTAATGCAAAAAATAAAATATAATTTTACCAAAAAAAAAATTGCGATCTATGCTTCACTCTTCACGCATGCGTAATCTAATTATCTACACAAACATACTAAATATCTACTCTCGCCATTTGTAAATGTCAAGGGCAAATGCAAAAAATAAAATAATAATTAAAACGGTGAAGTAAGAAAATACTGAATTTAAACTTACAGCGAAAATGGTAAACTTATATAATATAGGCAGCACCTTTTTTTATAATTTCTAGATAACATATATTCTACTTTTTGCATTCACCAATCAACATAATCATGCTTTGAAAGTGTAACCAACTGTACGCGAACATAATCCAATCACCTGCACGGGCTGCGCCACTCCATGCACGTGGGACACTCCCGCCGACACTCCCTGCACCGCGCCAGACACTGGCACCGTGCCTGCCATGGCCACGCCCATCGCGCCAGACACTGGCACGCTAGTCATCGCGCCAGACACCGGTGCGCCAGCCATTGAGCTAGACACGGGTACCCCAGCCTGAGACATCGCTGGCTGACATTCCATCCGGGAAGCGAAGATGGCGGAAGAGTCTGACGTCTGTACCATCGGCCTGTAGGCCGGGCCCGCCACCTGCGGCGCCATCTGTGCGCGGTACATCATGGGCTGCGCCCCCGGGTACACCTGCTGGGCTCCGTACATGGGGGGCACCACGCCCATCGGCTGCGCAAACCCTTGCTGAGCCTGCTGGAAAGGCTGCGGACTTGCAGACCGGAGGAAACCTTGCGGGACTTTTGAAGGTCGCGCCTGCCCCGAGTATGGGACTCCCTGAACAACTCCTACGGGTACACCGTATGACGCAGACGGGTGTGAGGCGGCCATACTGCTCTCCCGCCTAAACTGTGGCCGCGCCATCGCTCTCTGCGCTGCCACGGCGACGCAACTCTTCACGTTGTCCCCCCCAAAGTCGTAGATCTCTTCCACCAGCGGTGGGTCCGGCTGTGTGCGCATTTTGTTCATGACGCTGGCGGCGAGCTGCGCGTTGAGTGCCCCCTGCACCGCGAACTGCCCCACGTCCTGGTCCCTGCGGGTGCGGGGCGGGGGCGACGCGGGGACCGAGTGTTGCCGCGTGAACGGGGCGATGGGGACCGGGGACCCCCGGTGGGATAGGCTGCCCCTCGCGTTACGTTCCAACGACCCCATGCGGATGGGGGCGCGCTCCGCAGTGGACAACGTGCCGCGAGTGTTACGTTCTAGAGACCTAACCCGGCTGGCGTACGGTTCGGGGATGTCTGCTTCCCCGGCAGAAGGCGAGGCCGTGTCTCCGCGCGGGGAGACGCTAGGAATGTTCTGACAGAGATTGTCGCAGCTCTCGCGAGCTCCTACTACTACGGTTAAAGTTTCGTCGGGTGTATCAGAAGGGGTGGAGGTGGGGACGATGGGGTCTAGTTTCTGGAGGCTAGCGGCGGGGATGGGGGCGGTCTGGAGGGGGATATCGATTTTCTCGTCAGGGCGGGGGTGTATGATCTTTTCAACGATGTCTTGGGTCTCCGGCAGGGTGTCGGCGAAGTCTACTGCGACCGTGTTGAATACCGAGGCGGGCGTGGTGTAGGCGTGCGGTAGATGCGCGCGCGCAGTGTTCTCCCGCAGTAGGTGCGCCAGGACGAGCGGGTTCTGCGCCACTATGTACGTCTGGGCCGCGCCCGCGCCGCCTGCCACGTTGTCCGTCACTGTTCGAGAAAGAAAGTTAATACTGTAGTTTTATTGTCAACTGAATCGTTTCTACAGTACATTAACCTCTGAAATTTAACAATTGATTGTTGACTTGTCAACAGCCCAAACTTTAAATGAGAAAACAAAAATAATTATTATTATTACCTGGAATATTATTGGAAGGTCGCTGTGGTTTCGGAGGCGGTTCCTCACTGACGGAGCCAGCAGCGACGCGTCTGTTCTCCCGCCGCATCGTCTCCCACGCTGAGCTGCGCTCCTCTTGAAGAATCTCGCTGTGATAGAAGAATTGATTTTAATTCCTTTGCCTATCTAGACCTATTTTATTTGATCACGCTACTATAATATTGTGCGACGAGCTTATCAGAGTCGCGAGAATGGATGCGAGTGATAAGTTGTTGTTCCACTTGGAGGGCTAAGAGGGGGGCCACAAAGTCCACATAGCTACATTTTGTTTTATAAGTTTTTGTTGTGCCTAGTTAACTAACCTCTGGAGTTTGATTTATTTGTACTTTAAATGTATGTCCTTTTACTTGACAAATGAACGTCAACGACAAATCGTTTATCAATACTACTTACTCTATAGATAGGCATTTATGAACGTCAATATTGTTAGTGGTATATTTTTTCCCTAGGGCTGGTTACCGCTCATCTCTTCCAGTCTATACTAGTATTATAAAGAGGTAGAATTTTGTAAGTTTGTACGTAGGGGGTAAATAGGATATTCGGTAGTTTCGGCTTTAAGCATTCGAAAATGCAGCCATCGTTAACAAAACGAAATCAAGAATTTTAAACAATAAACATATTTGGTACCTCTGGTCGTATTTTCAAAATTCTTTCACTGCTGGATAGCTACAATGGTCCAGAATACTATACGCTACAATCAAATGAAGCCGAGTTGCGGGTAAAATCGCACGAGGGTAGCTAGTTTTTAACCTGAAATTGTGTCTAAATCTTAGAAATGTAATGTAAAGCATAAGAAAACGAGGCACTTACAACAAGGTCTCCTTGAGCTGGTGTGCAGCGGGTCTCTGGCTGGGTTCGTAGGCCCAGCAGCGCGACATGACGGAGTAGAGGCGCGGCGGGCAGCGCGGCGGCAGCGCCAGACGCTCGCCGTTCTCCAACTTGCCGATCACGTCGTTATTCTTCACGCCACTAAATGGCTTCACGCCCAGCATCAGGATTTCCCACATACACACGCCTAGTGGAAACGAGATAGATAGTGTTGTATATTCGTTTTTGATAACATTTTCTTTTAATTTTATTGACTAACCAGTAATAGGGTAAATGACAATTAAAATGATTGTAAGGAATAGGCATAAAATCTAATGTGAATAAAAATTAATTGAGTTTAGTAAATATTCTTGAGCCGCGTGCGAGAAACCACAACAGTCGCTTTCTCGAATAGTTCACGTGATTAAGCTGTATTCTTAGTTAATTTTGAATTGATGGAATAAGCCAGCCACTTTCAAAAACAGCTGAAACTTCTCTAAGCCAAGATCATGAAAACACCGAAACGATGAATTCCGGCGCGTCCCACATAAAAACGCGCGCGGACAAAGAAACAGCCTTGAATGCGACAACGAAATTAATCAGAAGACATAATTTGAGGGCAACAAAAAACAAAATGATTTCGACTTTATGAGAATTAAATTCAGGAGATAGAATAACATAAGCCCAAAAGAAACAGTACAATTAGGAGAAGCCCGGCCACCAACGATTTTGAAAATTTATTATTATAACGTGATGATTATATTAATATAATATCTGCATCACTTACCAAACATCCAAACATCGGAGGCGGACGTGAACCGTCTAAAGTTGATAGACTCGGGCGCCATCCACTTAATGGGCAACTTGCCGCGGGAAGCCTTGTAGTACGACTTATCTTCTACCATCTTTGATAGGCCGAAGTCAGCTAACTGTTGGTATATAAAAAAAGAAATAAATTATATATAAATACGATAATCCGGTTTCATATAGTTTTTTAAATATGATTTTGACGTGGACAAAGATAAAAGTACCGTTTTATGGCCTACTTGCAACAATAAATTCATTAATTTATAGAATCAGGCGTTACTTTGCGGAAATCCATGATATTAAATGTTACGGAAACTAAATTAATTAAAACTAAATATTTTCCCTAACATTTAAATAAATTCATTGTTTCATTGTGACCACATACATGCCTTTTAAAATATAACAAAAGACACTTGAATTCTTCGCTTTTAAATGCATTATATCTTTTTGTAGACAGCTAAAGTACCTTTTAGGAGAAGATATTTTCATATTTAAAAATAGGGTCGTGGGTGCGTTTACAAACATACAATTTCTCATACACGTGATATCCGGACCCGGAACAACAATTTGTGGATCACATAAAGAGTTGTTCCGTGCGGGAATGGAACCTTAAAATTGGTAGCTAAGAAATGGGAGAAGGACAGAGAATGAGGAGAGCAGGTAGGATAGGGTAAGTAGTGTAGGTAAGATAGGGTAAGCGTAGGGTAGGTAGCGTAGGGAAGGTAGCGTAAGGTAGGTAGCGTAGGGCAGGCAGCGTTGGGTGAGCATTGTAGGAACTAGGTTGGTTAGTGTGTGAAATCAAATGACGCGAGCAAAAAGCCACGGGTAAGAGCTAGTATAAAGTAAACATAAATAAATAAATTAGGGCTGATTTTGTAATGGTAAGATAAAAGTTACCTGGGGAATAACTATGATGCTGTCGCGTCAGAATGTTTGTATAAGACAGTGACGGCAACAATTTTATTCCTGAGATAACATTTATCTGACTATTGAAAAATCAGCCCTAAATCGAATAATATTTCAATTTGTAACTGACCTTGACACAAGTGGGCGTCGAGACGAGCACATTCCTAGCCGCGATGTCTCTGTGGACGAACTTCTTGCTCTCGAGGTAGCTGAGCGCCGTCGACAGCTGGTAGATGTACAGGACTAGCGTGCATGTCTCCAACCTGATAAAACACATGTTTTTAGAACTAGCTGTAACTTAATTAGGCAAGTAACCCGTATATAATATAAGCTGAAATATACTCAATTATTTATTTCTAAGGTCTACGATAAATTGGTGCAATTATTCTCATAAAAAGCTTACGTATGCTTATTAGCTTATTACATCAGTGGTGGAATTTTCCGTAAATAATCGAATTTTTCAACAGTGAAATTTCTACTAAACTTTTAAATAATGTATATAAAAATTAAAGTTTGCTGGAAACCAAAAACTTACGTATTAAAATTTATTAAATACCTAATTCACATTCACAGAAAAAAATGCAATGTAAACTGTTCTTTATCCCACACGAATAAAGTTCCGAATCGTATACTTAACAACATACCTGTGTGCATTTTGCTGTAGATAGGCCCTCATCTCTCCCAACGTAGCGAGCTCCATGACGATCCAAATAGGAGGGGAGCTACACACACCCACCAGTCCGATGATGTGAGGGTGGGAGAATTGCTGCATTATATCTAAGGGGATAAGGTCGATTTTTAATTGTTGATTACAATTAAAATGAAGTATATTGTAGAAAAATAAGTACATGATTTGCATTTCCTATTCTGTAAAAAAAAAAACAATATTGTCGTGGGTGCATTTACAAATATACAAATTCACGTATACAAGCCACCCAGACCCGAAACAACAATTTGTGGATCACACAAAGTGTTGTTCCGTGCGGGAATCGAACCCGCGATATGTCAATTGTCCAGCCACTGCGCCAATCGTGCAGTCAAAGTTTATAATATAGACGGACTACTAAGGTTTTCGTATGTATAAAAATTCAATCCAACGATATACGTACATTTAAAGAATTCGAAGGATTTTTTTTTCACTTAAGAATATTTTTAAGACAGAGAACAGTCTGAAAGACAAGATATCAATAAGAACAAATACGGTAGTTTCCAACTAGTCAAATTCAATCCTTTTATCCAAAAGTCAAAAACGATACATTGCTATGAAATCTGTATGAAAAACTGAGTTATGACGTCATAGTATTTTTGCGTCAAATAGCTTACTTATTTTTTAATAATTAGCTAAAAAAAATTTTAACATAGCGTATCGATCGATCGATGAATAAAAGTATAGTTATTTTTCAATATTTTATTGTATTGAAACGTCGAATTAATTTATTTTTGACCCAGGAAATTACCCAAATCAAAAGGCGTACCCAATAATGGACGTATGTCAATCAATAACAATATGAATAACTCACAAGCCTCTTCGAGGAATTTCTCAGCGGTGTCTAGATCGGCGTCCATCTTGCACGTTTTGACAGCGACGGGCAGTACGCTGTCGCCGCGCGCCGCGCCCGCCGCCAGCTGGCGCCGCAGGGACGGGTGGTTCGATGACGTCACTTTACATGTACCTACAGACAGATTTAAGTCACTATTATAACTACTATTTAATATACGTATAATTAGTTAATTATTCTTTAAATGTATTGAAACTGTTATATGTATAGTAACTATTAAAAAAATCAATAAATATTTTTTTATTAAAGTCAAAGTCAAAATCATTTAATACAACTAAACCACAAATAGGTACTTTTGAAACATCAAAATAAAATAGTAGTCTGTCAGTAGGGTTTTCAGTGAAGCTAGGTGCTCGTATAGAGAGACAGTGTTGTGTAGATATGCTTGACAGCTACTACTATTTCCTGCCAGCGCTCTATATCCTACCCGAGTACTTAAAGGTCCGCCCTTTAGCCATTACCAGTAGTGTGTTGCGAATGTCCATGGGTAGGCTGATTGCTTACCATCAGATAATCAGCTGGAACATTTGCCAACCAATCACAAAAAAATATTATATTAATATTTTCTTGTATAAGTAAAACTAACGAAAGATATTATTGGTCAAAGAAAACAGGTTGATTTGATTTTTAAATACTTGATGTGAATGCTTACCTTTGTGGACGTCTCCGAACTGCCCTTCACCAATGATGCCTGTCAGTTCTATTTGATTCCGCACTAGCTCGTAATCTCGAACTGAAATAAATGAACAATATTTATACAAAAAAATAACCAAAAAGTATTTATTCGCGTTTAGGACGCATAGGTATGGGCACAAAACCCAAACAAGTTTTTTAAGTTATACTACATGAGGACTTTTTATAATAACATTTAGGTTTTTTCTGTGGGGAGATTAACGATAATGACTTTAACGATAAAACCTTGGATAAGTGTCAGACTCTTAATATTTTTTCTGTATCCTGCTCTAAGCATAGCAATCTGTCATAGACATTTAGCTATTCCGTTGTTTGAATTATGTCTGAAAATTGTCAAGTTGAGCACGATATCTATTGACTAATCTCACAATTCTTTAGGGTCTCTTAATGACTAAAAACTTCTGAACAGATATATTTTTAATATTTATATATTAGATATTAGACAGAATATTAACATTTCACAGACACTATTGATAAATTGCTACACTTTTCGATTAAGTCTTGACACCCACCACATGATTTTTGTGTTTCTCCGTGCAAATGAGAAAGGTGTCCAGAGGCTTAAAATGCCCTACCCCCATTCCCAATTGCCCCAATCCTTAAAAGGCAATGCACTTGAAACAAGGCTGGCAAGGTGTTTGTAATTTCATTACATTTTAAAAAACGCTGCCCATTCTAGAATTTTCTCTTGTGTTGTGGGTGCGGTTACAAAGATACAATTTCACGTACACACGACACCCAGACCCGGAACAACAATTTGTGGATCACACGAAAAGTTGTTCCGTGCGGGAATCCGTGACACGTTGCACGGCAGCCAGTTGCCCGGCCACCGCACCAACCGTGCAGTCAAGGTGTTCATGGACTGCTTACCATTAAGAGATCCTTATTGTCCTTTGCCGTCCCATTCCATAAAAAATACATAGTGTTGTACGTATGAATAAGATTTTCTGTCTTTCTAGTTTACCTGCAGGCGTCGAGTAGTCAGCGTCATCATCAACAATCTCTGCGTAGTCCTCGGAGAGTAGTGTCGCCGTGTTCGCCTCCCACGAACTCGTTTTACCCTCCGACGAACTACTGCTCATCTCCGCTACAATATTACAAATTATTTTATTTATTTATTTTGTATATATAATTGCTATGCTATGCTATGCTATAAGCATTTTCTGCCAGTAATCCATTATTACAAGTTAGTCGAGTGTGGGAGAGCCAAGCTTCGGCTTCGTGGAACAACGACAGCGTTGTGTTTCGCCGTGTGATGTTGTCGTTGATGTTATATGAAGCCAAATATGACATATTTTGGCTATTCTTGGAATTTGTATTGTGTTTTATAAACTTTACATTAATCATACTAAATCATATTAAAGCTGTGGGTAAATGCTGTAGGTATATTAAAACATTTGATTAAACTTACTTTTACACTGACAATTCAGTTGTTTCCATACGGTAGCTTGTAATGAAGAAATTAATCGATAAATATTCGGTATTTTCAATACTCATTCATACATTATTATTAGCCTATAAGTGCCCACTGCTGAGCAAAGGCATCTTCTCACACGGAGAAGGTGTAAACATTATCACCACTCCTACTCGAGGCGGATTAGCGATTCAAACTTTAAGATATTATAGGTCTACGTTTCATCACGATGTGCCTACCTTACTTCATATCAGTGGTGTCTAAATACCTAATCAGAAAGTAGAAAGTAGATACTTTCTATGATTAGGTATTTAGGCCCAGGCCACCGCGGTAGATTGTTAAATATTTATAACAAAATATGAAGTTGAAGAAAAAAAAGATGGCGTCACGACTTACTCGTTCGGTTCCATAAAGATGTTTGTGACTCTGTGACCAGTCGGCAGTATCCGTCAACCAAATCTGCTAAACTTTCTGCAGCCTATAACAACATAAATTGTATGAAATATCATTGGTATATTACATACTTATTTAAAAAATATCCCATCAAAAAACATGAATGTAAAATGTAAAGTTTAATATTATGCAACGCTGATATAAAATTTCTCCACTTTTTAATGGATGTTACCATCCATATAAAACTCTCTTTTCAATCACTCTATATATTAAAAGAACAGTATGAAAATCTGTTGCGTAATTTTAAAGATTTAAGCGATTTAAGCGACTTTGTTTTATACTTTGTAGTGACTCTGTCACGCGGCAGTAGGCATTTGTATTTAAATACGACCTTACAACCAATACTTTAGAGATAGTATTACAATGGCATAATGCTTACCTCAACACTGCTGCACGTGATAGTCAGCGTTTCCGTCGCCCCCTTCACCCGTAGCTGCAATGCAGCCTTACCGCAGGAACCACTCTGAAATAAGAATAAATACACATATTTAAAACCAAATTAAAATTACGTATACCACACAGAATTTACATTTGTAAGCCCTTTAAGTATTATATGATTTTTTGATTACCAAAACATTCACAGGTATTAATAATAGGATGATGTGCCACGATACGGTCCATTGTTGAGCATAGAACCTCTCCAAAGGACTTCCAGATCGGCCGATTGTAAGCGTCCATTAACCGGAAACTTATACTGCGGTACATGGCCTCCAATTGAGCCCGTACGCCCACTAGGGCGGACAGAGTCATCCGATGATTTTAACCCCCCTTTTGAGGGGAAAATCATTAAATTACGTTTTTCGAGGCGAGGGTCAGTGTCAGACTCATACTGACTGAAAACCATGCCGTTCCTTCTTCTTCTTCAGGTCGATGCCGCGGCACGCTATTGCGCTTGTCCGGCAACCCTGCCTGAACATCAGCCCTTTTAGGCCACATGAAAATGTGGCTGATTACACCCCCCTCAAAAAAAGTATTGCTAGAGTTCTGTACTGTACCTGTGTCTGCGACTGTTGCGTGCAGTTGGACTTGAGTGTCTGTACGGCCACGATGTCGCTGAACGACGCGATCTTTGTATAGGTGGGGGGCTCGCCAGCTTTGTGGGATACATACGATATATCTGGGGATAACATAAGGGTAATTTTGTTATTAGGTAAGTTTTACTATTTTACGTATAGTTATTTTGTAGCCATGATTGTCGTTACATTTTTTTGTAGGAGTAGAGCATGGATATAATAAATAAGATTATGTTCTATATTTTACGTAGGTAGTTTTAATATGTCAGTCGATAATGTTAATTATTAGTTCCAAACTCGTTTAAATTTAATATTTTTATTGGGAAAACAAAATCGAAACTTGTCTATGAATTTTGTACGAAACACAACACCCAGAAAAAATTGCTGAACAAAATATGAAATAAATTTTGTCGTCAAATTAATAAATAAAAGTATACTTAATATTATATTTTATTAATTCATTAATTCAAATTTAGGTACTTTTGATTTATGAAAGTAGGTTTCAAATCGTCCTATGTCCTTGTGTGTGCCAAAATCATTCACTCCAATTTCAAATTTCAAATGTATTTTTTAATAATTAAAAGCAAAGAGTCTCACCAATAAAAGGTCCGATGGCCAGCTCGACAGGTATGGACCAGCCAGTACCGAGCGCGCCAGTGAACGTTTCCCGATCGTAGCCGTAGTGTGTATGCATTGTGTCCAAATACTTCAGCATACACTCCGTGTCACTTAGGTTGGCCACCTGAGAGAAAAAAACAGACAAAATATAATCAGTGTGGGAGAGCCATGCTTCGACACGAATGGGTCGGCTCGACCGGAGTTCTCGGGCCTCACAGAGAACCGGCGTGTAAAAACCACAGCGTCGAGTTTCGCCGTGTGAGTGAGGTTACCGGAGGCCTAATCCTTGCTCTTCCTCAATCCCTAATCCCAAAAAGGTCGGCAACGCACTCGTAACTCCTCTGTTACGGGTGTCAATGGGCGGCGCTGATTGCTTACCATCAGGTAATTCGTCAGCTCGTTTGCCGTTTAACACATAAAAAAAGAGTTACCCAAAGCGGTTACGAAATCGTATACATATTTATAATTCTTTAATAGGTTGGCAGTGTGGTTTTTGAATCGGTAGTTTTTGTCTCTGTATATTTTTCCTTTTTAATAACAGTTTTGCATATTTATGAAGTTAAAAGTAACGGTTGAACTGGCTGCAGACATTTACATATAGAATAAAAAATATTACCTTTTTAAATTGTTGCTGTATGGCCTTCTTGAGCACCTTAGGTTTGATGGCGTCGAGCACAGACTTGGGCAGGAACTTGTGCAATCCAAACTCTTTCTCCAAGTACTCAATGTTGGACTTCTTGTCCAGAGATGTTTGCATATCCTTACAGAAGTATCTGAAATAAAAATATTAATGTTCTTTTATATGTACCCTCTTCATGATACCGAGTGAAAACTTTCGGTATTTGAATTTATAAATTCTATACTATTTTATAGACAAACAAATTTATATTAGTTATACACATGTATAATAGATATACCACATAATATAATATAATAATGTATTAAAAGTAGTGTATCAATTCGAATTTCGAAAGGACATGGCCAAAAAAGTACATTCCACGTACACGAACAAAATTAATACACTGTAAAATACAAATAGAAATATGAATTATTACGTAGTTTTTAGCCTCTCCAGACCTGACAATTATTATTAAAAAAATGTAAAAGTAATGCAACAAAATCAACTTCGTTTGTCAAGTTTCGCCATAATAGTCCATAGAGAAAGATAAATAAAAAGACGTTCCAATTCCAAACCACGGGTCTTAAACTACACTCGTAGAAAACGTGTGATATGATCGACAAATGAATTACACTAGGAACATTTTATTCATACGAAACTGTATTCATTGTTTTTAGTTGCATATTAAAATATACTCATATTATAATAATGTTATGTTTTATTTTTATCCTTTTCACCAAAAAAAACTTAAACGAAACGGAACGTGTTTGACACTTTTGACAGCGTGTTTTTGTTAACCTTGCTAATAATACTGGAGTAACTGTTTTGCGTTTTGGATTTGTTTTGTGGATTACGATGAGGTGCATCAACTGCGGAATAGGCGTACAAAGGCTGCAGAGGCGTCTAATATCCTCGCTTTCTGCACACCATCAAACAAAACTTTCACGTTGGTTAACCAGCTCAAACCCAGGTATAAAGTCGGAATAGTATAATACTTAGTCTGTTTTTTTATGTTTTATCATGGTATGCGATTTTAAAAAGTGCATCTTTTTTTTAGTTGCCTCTGGGGACAGTCATTTGTCAACCACGCTTCTTATTATGGAATACTGAGGCTGGTGAACATGAGAGACTACTGGGGCATAACATGGCTTGCCTTGGTTGTGGAAAATCGGTTCGAAAAATAAGACACCATAATGTCAGTATGGACTCTTCATTGCTAGCTGGCCTAATATAATGTGGTAAGCATTTTGTTTTTTGTTCATTGTTTTATATATGTACTTGTATTTATCTATATTAATCTATAAAAAAAGTACTCATAGTAGGTATGTGTGATTATAATATCTATCTTTATGTATTTTCCATGTTTGCATAGACTTCTTTATACTACTTCTTTAAAATAGGCATGTTGTAACATAATACTTCTCACTGTACAATAACATAAAACTTGAAAACATGTGTTTATTCTAACTGGGGTTTATTTTTTCAGACCTCAAGAAGCAACTCTGTTTGTCATGTGTGCTGCATGCGGGCAAATAGACAGACAGTGCAGGACTTATCACGAAACTTGCAGGAATTGGGTTCGGACAACAATGCAGTAGCCCCTTATATTCAAGTGGTTAGCCCACCAGAGCCACCACCATTACCACCTGTTTTAAGCAGGCCGCTTCAAATGGAAAGTACTACCTATATTAGCCAATTATACAGAATATATATTAAAAAAGAAACGTACATTTCATACAGAAGCATAATAAAATACACTTTATAATAAAAATATAAAAGTGAATTATTACGTAGTTTTATTTTATTTGTTCTCCTTAATAAATAAATCATTATTCTTTATATATATTCTTTTGTTTTATTTTATAAATAAATAAATAAATAATTAAAACGCCATGGTTTTTAAAAGCAAAATCTTATTTCGTGCACTTATGGCCAGTAATCTGACTAAAGGTTTAGTGAAACTATTTTCGTCTTGTTTGTTATAATTACGAGTTCTTCATGTGTTTTATTTTTTGCAATTTAATTTAATAATATTCACAAATGTAAACACCAAAAATCATTGATGTACATTGAATTCAATAACTATGCAAACGCCCATATAAAAGTTGGCCATGTCCTTTAAATGCCTTCACTATCCTCTAATAAGTTTTAAGATTGTCGATACAGAATGCCTAGTCTGAGTTCTTTATTCAAATGTAACGAAAAGGTTACCACGTTTAGCCCTGTGATTGGTTGGTCAACTTGGAGCTGACCAATCAAAGCGCATAGCGTCATAAATGTAACGTAAAGCGAGCTGAGACTGGGCACTCAGTGATGTATAAAGTTAACTTTAAAAATGTATACTTACTTAATTTCTAAACAACATATTTGTATCGCCAAATCCTGGTCTACCATTGGATGATTGGCGTTGAGGTAGTCGTGTCGAACCTGAAATAGAAGCATACATATAAGTAATCAGTTATTGTAAGAAGCAATCATTCGCTAAGTGTTTTCGTTCTTTACAGATAAAAATTAGCACTAATTTTTTTCAATAACCTTCTTGAAAAATAAAAAAACACAAAGAAAAATGAATAAATTTATCAGTATTTTTTACAGCGAATACCTTTTACAATAGATAATTTATAGAATCAGGCGTTACTTTGCGGAAATCCATGACATTAAATGTTAGGGAAAATATTTAGTTTTAATTCCGCGACAAAAATCCAGGCTTGTTGCAGGATGCAATCCCACTCCTATGCAATCATGCATATGCACATGCAGCAAGGGTCCCACCCTCCCGCCCACATGCATATGCACACATACACAAAACGGAAAAACATGCCACGCAATCAAACCTATACTCGACACGTGTTTCGCCCCTCCACAGGGCATCCTCAGGAGATGTTGACTCGACGAGCGCTCGGCTGCGAATGAGCTAGTACGACAGCTCTCGCCTCTTATATAGTGTCGTGATGACACATAATCGATACAAACGTCTTTGTATCGATTGCATCGATTACACAATCGATACAATCGACACAAACGTCATTGTGACGCCTGCATCGACCATGATCTACCTGTAATCACACTTAAAAGAGGGGATGTAATTAAGTTTGTTTGCTCATTCAACAGTGTAAAATTACTATTATTATTATGTTTGGAGATTTCTAACTGCTCCAACACACACAACCGGAAATTTTTATCACAGACATGCAGAATAGTATATGTGTTATTGTCGCTCAAGGAATGGCCGGTGTCAATTAAATGTTTAGCGAAATGTGACTTGTCTGGATGGCCATTCCTGTAAGCGGCAATATGCTCCTTAAATCTAACCTCAAAATTACGGCCTGTCTGACCCACATAGACCCCGTTACATTCGTTGCAAATTAATTTGTAAATACCGGATTTTTTTGAATTTTGTAATTTATCTTTACCGTTACAAAGATTACGTAAGTTGTGATCTGATCGAAAAGTAACGAAAACATTGTGTTTTTTAAGAATATTCGCGATTTTATCAGAAATGGGGCCTATGTAAGACAGACTACCGACATACTTGTTAATTCGTTCGGGGGTACATGCATAAAGTAGTGAGCGAGCCCTGTCATTCTGTTTTTTCTGAATAATATTATCGATGACTTGTTTTGAATACCCGTTTGAAATCGCGATTTGATATAATATTTTAAGTTCTTTGACATAATTATCTGTGGAAAGTGGGACTGACATTAAGCGATGGACATAGCTGCGGAAGGCTGCTAGTTTGTGTTGTGATGGGTGACAAGAAGAAGCGGGAATTGTTGTGTCGGTATGAGTGGGTTTACGGTAAATTTGGAAATCGAGTTTGTTATTAACTCTAGTGATTGTTAAATCGAGAAAATTGAGGGATTGGTTGGACTCTAATTCTAATTTGAATTTAATTTTGGGGTGGAAAGTGTTAAGTTTATTAACAAAAATATTTAATTGACGAATAGTACCCGTCCAACAGATAATTATGTCGTCTACGTATCTATAATAAAACAGAATGTTGGGCTCGCCCACCACATATTTACATTCAAAGTAGTCCATAAATACTTCCGCCATTAGAGGACTCAATGGTGATCCCATTGCTAACCCCTCCTTTTGGCGAAAACATTCATTATTAAAACAAAAATAATTTTGTTGCATGCAAATACGTGTGAGGTCAAGAAGGTCATGCATTTCTCCAGGGTGTAAACGTTGTCTTGGTGGTAATGGTTCCCCAAAATACGAAGGCACTCTTCAAATGGAATATTTGTAAATAAACTGTCAACATCCAATGATACACGTATTTGCATGCAACAAAATTATTTTTGTTTTAATAATGAATGTTTTCGCCAAAAGGAGGGGTTAGCAATGGGATCACCATTGAGTCCTCTAATGGCGGAAGTATTTATGGACTACTTTGAATGTAAATATGTGGTGGGCGAGCCCAACATTCTGTTTTATTATAGATACGTAGACGACATAATTATCTGTTGGACGGGTACTATTCGTCAATTAAATATTTTTGTTAATAAACTTAACACTTTCCACCCCAAAATTAAATTCAAATTAGAATTAGAGTCCAACCAATCCCTCAATTTTCTCGATTTAACAATCACTAGAGTTAATAACAAACTCGATTTCCAAATTTACCGTAAACCCACTCATACCGACACAACAATTCCCGCTTCTTCTTGTCACCCATCACAACACAAACTAGCAGCCTTCCGCAGCTATGTCCATCGCTTAATGTCAGTCCCACTTTCCACAGATAATTATGTCAAAGAACTTAAAATATTATATCAAATCGCGATTTCAAACGGGTATTCAAAACAAGTCATCGATAATATTATTCAGAAAAAACAGAATGACAGGGCTCGCTCACTACTTTATGCATGTACCCCCGAACGAATTAACAAGTATGTCGGTAGTCTGTCTTACATAGGCCCCATTTCTGATAAAATCGCGAATATTCTTAAAAAACACAATGTTTTCGTTACTTTTCGATCAGATCACAACTTACGTAATCTTTGTAACGGTAAAGATAAATTACAAAATTCAAAAAAATCCGGTATTTACAAATTAATTTGCAACGAATGTAACGGGGTCTATGTGGGTCAGACAGGCCGTAATTTTGAGGTTAGATTTAAGGAGCATATTGCCGCTTACAGGAATGGCCATCCAGACAAGTCACATTTCGCTAAACATTTAATTGACACCGGCCATTCCTTGAGCGACAATAACACATATACTATTCTGCATGTCTGTGATAAAAATTTCCGGTTGTGTGTGTTGGAGCAGTTAGAAATCTCCAAACATAATAATAATAGTAATTTTACACTGTTGAATGAGCAAACAAACTTAATTACATCCCCTCTTTTAAGTGTGATTACAGGTAGATCATGGTCGATGCAGGCGTCACAATGACGTTTGTGTCGATTGTATCGATTGTGTAATCGATGCAATCGATACAAAGACGTTTGTATCGATTATGTGTCATCACGACACTATATAAGAGGCGAGAGCTGTCGTACTAGCTCATTCGCAGCCGAGCGCTCGTCGAGTCAACATCTCCTGAGGATGCCCTGTGGAGGGGCGAAACACGTGTCGAGTATAGGTTTGATTGCGTGGCATGTTTTTCCGTTTTGTGTATGTGTGCATATGCATGTGGGCGGGAGGGTGGGACCCTTGCTGCATGTGCATATGCATGATTGCATAGGAGTGGGATTGCATCCTGCAACAAGCCTGGATTTTTGTCGCGGAATTAAAACTAAATATTTTCCCTAACATTTAACCTTTTACAATAATAAAAAAAACTAAATCTAAATCGGTTGATCTGATCTGTTCGCGAACTACGATAGCACACAACCCCCCCGTAGTTTTGTAATTTAATTATTAATTTTGGATTTTGTTGTTCATTAATAATAATAATCATCATCATCATCATAATCATCACCAACAGCTGGACATATGGCCACCTCTACAAAATATGGGTTTATTACCATCAATCATCCTATATTTGTATTGAGTTGGAGATCAGCGGTTCAAAAGGTTTATCAAAGTCCCTTAATTGACTACTTTCTACATCCGCGGTAAGAGCTAGAGGTTATGAGAGAAGTACTCCTCTGTCGCCAGCATAGGGTTTAAAAAATGTGATTGATTCCTCTCTTACCTGGTCGTAATAATAGTGGAAGGTGACTCGGTCGGCGTCGCAGAGGTCGCGCAGGTTGGCCGGCAGGTAGCGCACGCGCAACTCCAGCCGCCACTCGCTCGCCGGCCATTTTGTCAGGAGCTCCGACACTGGCGTGTCCTGATGTATCCAACGGATCTGCGGATAAAATATAGTTTTATTGAAGTTACAAGAATCTTTTTCAATAAATTGCAATATATTGTGATGCATTTCTTAAGGATTGGAGACATAAGGTAAGGTTTTTTTACACAATTACAACATCACTTTATGGATCACACAATATTCCGTGCATCATTGGAGTCACATAGTTCTTAATAAACTCCATGCCAAATAGGACACAGCTTGAATGCTCTGTCTAAACTTATTGAAGACACAGTTTTAATGACATATTACGGATAACGAGCAGCCGGATTACCTGATGGCAAGCAATCGGCGCGGCCCATGAACGCACGCAACACCAAAGAAGTTACAAGTGCGTTGCCGGCCTTTTGGGGATAAGGGTCGATTGGGAAGCAATGGGGAGAGGGGTCCCTACGGGATTGGGCCTCCGGTAACCTCACTCACACGGCGAAACACAACGCTGTGGTTGTTTCACGCCGGTTTTTTGTGAGGCCGTGGTATTTCTATGGTCCATTCATGCCGAAGCATGGCTCTCCCACAAACGTGCTGAAGAACTAACAAATTCAAAAAGTTTCTCAACGTACCTTGCCAGTAGTCAACCTCTTCGCTCTCAACGCGAAGCATGACGCGTATACCCTGTCTCCGGCAGCCAGCCGGGCGGCCAGCAGCCGAAGCACCGACCTCACATCCTCGTCGGCTGAGGCTCGCACCACGTTGAACCCACCATTGGGAAGGTGGACCTTTAGTGTGGATTGATCGCCTGCTGCGCCACCTAGAAAATAATCAAAAACTGGATTAACTTATTTTCGTCTTTATTATTATACGCGTTGTTTTGCTATGCAAGTACTGCTAAAATTGTTCTACATATAGGTTTTACGTATGTCAGCATATTATAGTACCTAATCACATTGTCTATCTTATACAGTCATAAAAAAATTCAAATTTCTTCAGAAATATTTATTATCTGTGTAATTTTATACATGTCATAAGCTGAAGACTTAGTTTATTTGAATGCGCTAATCTCAGGAACGGTACGAGTTGAAAACTTATTTTTGTATTTAATAGACAATTTATTAAGGAAGGCCTTACGCTAAAAAACATCTTTTCATTCATCATTGTTCGATAAAAAGAAAGAAATCTACTCGAAAAAGAAGGAAAGAATTCATCTATTAAACAAATACTCATGGTAAAAATAGGTTAAAGCTTTCTAAAACCGTTATTTATTAATGAATATTGGTTATTAAGAAATAAAAATTTATTTGACAGAATGTAGTACAAATATAGGTAATCGGAAATGTTTGAAAACCTACATATATACTGGAAAAAGCCCCCTTAAGTGGTTATAGAATATTTTAAAACAACACTCCTAATTTAAGTTGTTTAGTTATAAGTAAAGTTATAGTGATTCCACAATCAAACTGTGAATACAGTTTTGTGGGACTATTTTTATTTCATAAGTCCAATGTGTTTAATAAATAAAAAAATAATAAAAAAAAGGTGTTATGTGTTTATTAGATTGTGAATATCTTTATTTAAGATCACAACGAAGGAATATTCTAAAAAGGTTCTATCGGAATCCTTTGTTCTTGTACGTTCTACCTAACCATTGATTGGTTTTATCATGTTCTCTCAATAGCTCCCAAGAGCCTGACATTTATAGTACCTAAGTTCACTCACAGCTTAAAATACGGTATGACGATCACGTGATCTAAGATTTATGTTTGATAATATGACGATGATAAATTGAGTCCAAAATGAAAGTCACTGTTATAATATTTACGTGATAAGAGCTTTGGAACCTTGGGGGAATTTTAAGGTCTAGATTTATCCGTTGTGTCAACACGATCCTTTCTTTTCCTTAAGGATGAGGAAACTACAAATATATTTTGTATATCATATAAAGAAAGAAAGAAAGAAAAATATTTATTTGACACATAGTGCAGAAAACCACATATTGAACAAAACATCAAAACAATAATAGAAAATAAAAAAGAAACATTGCGTGCCTCGCGGCTGCACCAAATCGGTCCAGTTTAGCATATGTTCGTGGTATATCTAATATAATACTGGACCTGATCCTGTTTCGCAAAGTCTGATTAGCCACTATGTACCCTATAAATTTTGAATTTAGAACCGAATTTAAATGAATTAAGTAACACGTATACGTAAGTTTATCGTGAACAAACATGAAGATGGTGAAGCTAAGGTTTACCAGAATTTTTGTTCAAGTAAAATAGATTCTGATGTTTTCCGAACCATTTTGACACAAAAGCTTGATTCAAAAAGTCAAAAAAGTCAAAAATCATTTATTTCAATTAGACCACAGTAGGCACTTTTGAACGTCAAGCAAGCAAAAAAAAGAAAAAAGTATATAATATGAGCTTTAAAATAAGCGTGTCAGTCTGTCCGTCTGTCCTCTAGTGAAGCTATTTGCTCGTTCCAAAGTGTAGATTCCTATGGAGAAGAACGAGCAAGAAACTCCATGGTTACTCTTTTTCAATCAGTTTTACAATACATTTCTTTGTTACATAATTTAGTCGGTTCTGACATGTGAGAACAATGTAACACTAATGTTCAGGCAAAAAGTACGAAAAAGAAGTGAACCTCAAGGACAACATATTTAGACAGCCTGGAGATGACCAGTCCCAATTGGCGGCGCCCGTTCACGAACATGACACGTACACCAGCACCGCCCAACTCAACCATATTATAGGGAATTGGGCGATCCAGTGCCCGTGCCACCGCCAATGAGACCTCTGAGTGAGCATGACAGCTCCCAGCCGACACAAGTACCTATATTCTACAAGTCTTACTTAATTATAATAGGTTACAGGGTACTCACATTTACAAAAACTTAGAAGTTCATCAAAAATTAACAACATTGTGTATAATTTAATAATTAAAATCAAAAATTCCTCTAAACATCCTGTGGAGTAGGACCAGCTAGCCTCCAAGCATTTTTATCTTGTATATAATCATTTAGTTTGTAGTATGCTAGTTTACATAAATGTTTCTTTATACATAATTTAAATTTGCTTTCATTTAGATTTTGAATTTCAACTGGGATTTTATTATAACATTTAACACAGAAACCCAGAAATGACTTATGCACTTTTGCCAATCTAAATAAAGGCTGACTCAATCTATTCCTATGTCTAGTATGATAATCATGTTTGTCAGATACCTTTACAAATAAGTGTAGGTTCTTCCTAACATACATAATGTTTTCATAAATAAATTGACTCGGTACGGTCAGAATGTTGATCTCCTTAAACTTTTCTCTGAGAGATTCGCGACGACCTAAGTTATATATGGCTCTGACGGCACGCTTTTGCAAGATAAAGATAGACTCAACGTCGGATGCCTGTCCCCACAACAGAATTCCATACGACATGATGCTGTGAAAGTAGCTAAAGTACACTAGTCTTGCCGTGCCTACATCAGTTAGCTGACGGATCTTCCAGACAGCATAAGCTGCAGAGCTCAATCGTCCTGCTAGAGACCTGATGTGGGGCCCCCATTGCAACTTCTCATCTACAGTGATCCCCAGGAAAGTAGTCTCTTTTACAAATTCTAGTTTCTGATCATTTAATAATATATCATCACATAGGTTACTTTTAACATTTGGTAAAATAAATTTAATGCATTTAGTCTTTTTATCATTTAGTAATAAGTTGTTTACTGTAAACCAATTTTGAACCTTCATTAAGGCATTATTAACTTCGTCATATTTGTTTGTTCGTCTATTTATTTTAAAAATCAATGAAGTGTCATCAGCGAATAATACCATATGCGGTTCATTTTGGAACAAATGGGGCAGGTCATTCACATAAACTAAAAATAGAAAAGGACCTAATATTGAGCCCTGCGGTACGCCCATAGATACGCTAGCACCCAGTGAGTTAACTTTGTTGACTTGTACTTTAATTTTTCTTTCTTGAAGGTATGATTTCAATAAATCTAGGGATACCCCCCGAATGCCGTAGTGTTTTAGCTTCAGTAACAGCGTCTCGTGCTCAACACAGTCGAATGCCTTTGAAAGGTCGCAAAATATTCCGATGGCATCCTGTGCTTTTTCCCACGAGTTGAAAACTTGTTTTATAAGTGATACTCCTGCGTCCGTAGTGCAACGTCCTTTGGTGAACCCGTATTGATGGTCATGGAAAATAGAATTCGTGTTAAAGTGACGCAGCATTTGAGTAAGCATCAACCTTTCGAACACTTTACTGAGCACTGGCAAAATAGAGACCGGCCTATAGTTATTAGGTTCTGTACTATCGCCTGATTTAAATAATGGAACTACTTTACTATGTTTCATTAAATCCGGGAAAACCCCTTGATCTACACTTTTATTAAAAATGAGAGTTAAGTGCGGCGCAATAGTCTCTATAAACGACCTGCACACTCGAACAGACATTCCCCAAAGATCTTCAGTTGACTTTACTTTGATCTCATTGAACGCCTTTATTACTGCCTGGGGGGTTGTGTATTGAAAGCTAAAGTCAGAAGGACATTCTTTGACGTTACCCCTGAGAAGCTCGACAGAAAGAGCTGGAGATGATTTTAACGTTTCCGTAGTTTTAAGAGGAATATTTTTAAAGAATCTTTCGAATTCCTGGGCAACTGACGAATTTGAACTAGTATATCCCTTTTCGGTTTTTAAATTAAATTCAGTGTTTTGTGATTTATTTCTACCTGTTTCTTTATTAATTATATTCCAGGTAGCTTTTATTTTGTTTTCGGCGGTCCTGATTTTATTACTAATGTGGAGCGACTTAGCATGTTTACATACTATTTTAAATATTCTTGAATATTTGGAAACGTGTCTGCGAAAAGCCTCGCTACTATTAAATGGTTTCAGGCCGTATAGCTCAAATAACCTGTCTCTACTTATACGAATACCTGGTGTAGCCCAGTCAGAGAATACAAATTTACACTGAACATTTTTACGTATTAAAGGAAATAGTTTATCGAACTGTATTTTTATAAGGGATAATAAATTAGCATATATCTCACTCGGGCAATTATTGTCTTGTACTTGGCTGCATAATTCATGTTTTAGCTTATTATTTAATGAATAATTTTTTTTGTATGTGATTTGTCTAAACAATATTTCCTTTTTTGGCATAGTTGTTATAGTATTAAAGTTAACTGTGAGCCCACTGTGATCAGATGGTAATCTATTTACAATTTCACTTTGTAAATAATCACAGTTACAGAAAACATTATCTATACAAGTTGCCGAGGTGGATGTTACTCGGGTGGGCTCAAGGAAAATATTAGACAAATCAAATGATTGAAAGAGACTTAACAAGATTTTCTGTAGGACGGATTTATAAGATTTTTGCATGTTACAGTACAATGAACTTCTCCAAACCCTGCGCAAAGGATTTAACAAATAACAGTCAACCAGGGAATATCAACCAAATTATATCTGGCGGTACACAAGCAATTACTTGACCAACACCCCTAAAAGTCCCACAAACCCTGGTAAACAAACTGCCCACGTAAAATCATTAGCCAAATGGATGTCAACTTTGTAATGGGGTTAATAAAACTCAGAGTCAATTAAACACGTTTCGAGGTGCGTCAGCGAAGGTGTGGTGGCCATCCCCCGTGGTTTAGTACCCTGAATAGCTTGTAATTGATATTGCACTGTTTTGTTGCCTTTGTACAGGAGTTACAATCGCGTGGGCTGATTGTTTGGGAATGGGTGTCTACCTATTACTTATAATCAATGCCTCTTTTTCTATTAAAGAGGCACATTCTAGGTATAGCACGTGTGAGTTTTAACCACTCCAGGTGGCAGCCTATGCACCACAGACGGGGCCCTATAGGGCTGATGTTAAGCCTAGGTTGCGAGGCAAGCGCAATGAGGCACCACGGCCCAGAGCAGGAGAAGGAACGGGGGTTTTTAGTCAGCAAGAGTCTGACACTCTCTCGACTTACCCTAGGGAGAAGTCATTTGATGATTTTCCCCTGACAAAAAACGCACCTATACGAAAGCCTGACCTCTGATACCACCTGGCACCTGTAGTGTTTGTGATCATTGCTACAGGTGGTTTGATTTGTTTTGTGGTTTGTTAGAACGTTCCGTGTGAGGAGTGATAGACCAAATGCGATAGTGGCGCCACTATATCCACCAGAAATTTGGGAAAGCTTGCGTTGTAATTATTGCGATGCGCAATATTGGAAGACATATATTATTTATTCTGTAGATAATTTATTGCATATCACTTTTGTAATAAGAATTGATTACGTCTTTCAATTCCAAGGGGATATCAAAGCAAGCCCATATCGATATACTCGTATAATCTTGTTGCAAAACACAGCTTATTACTAGTAAGCTGTGGGCAAGTAACTCAGTAAAATTTATCAACAAATTTTAACTGTTAAAATCACAACGCCAAAGTCAAAGTCAAAGTCAAAAATCATTTATTTCAATTAGACCACAGTAGGCACTTTTGAACGTCAAGCAAGCAAAAAAGGAAAAAAGTATATAACATGAGCTTAAAATTAAGCATGTCAGTCTGTCCGTCTGTCCTCTAGTGAAGCTATTTGCTCGTTCCAAAGTGTAGATTCCTATGGAGAAGAACGAGCAAGAAACTCCATGGTTACTCTTTTTCAATCAGTTTTACAATACATTTCTTTGTTACATCATTTAGTTGGTTCTGATATGTGAGAACAATGTAATACTAATGTTCAGGCAAAAGGTACGAAAAAGAAGTGAACCTCAAGGACAACATATTTAGACAGCCTGGAGATGACCAGTCCCAATAGGCGGCGCCCGTTCACGAACATGACACGTACACCAGCACCGCCCAACTCAACCATATTATAGGGAATTGGGCGATCCAGTGGCCGTGCCACCGCCAATGAGACCTCTAAGTGAGCATGACAGCTCCCAGCCGACACAAGTACCTATATTCTACAAGTCTTACTTAATTATAATAGGTTACAGGGTACTCACATTTACAAAAACTTAGAAGTTCATCAACAATTAACAACATAGTGTACAATTTAATAATTAAAATCAAAAATTCCTCTAAACATCCTGTGGAGTAGGACCAGCTAGCCTCCAAGCATTTTTATCTTGTATATAATCATTTAGTTTGTAGTATGCTAGTTTACATAAATGTTTCTTTATACATAATTTAAATTTGCTTTCATTTAGATTTTGAATTTCAACTGGGATTTTATTATAACATTTAACACAGAAACCCAGAAATGACTTATGCACTTTTGCCAATCTAAATAAAGGCTGACTCAATCTATTCCTATGTCTAGTATGATAATCATGTTTGTCAGATACCTTTACAAATAAGTGTAGGTTTTTCCTAACATACATAATGTTTTCATAAATAAATTGACTCGGTACGGTCAGAATGTTGATCTCCTTAAACTTTTCTCTGAGAGATTCGCGACGACCTAAGTTATATATAGCTCTGACGGCACGCTTTTGCAAGATAAAAATAGACTCAACGTCGGATGCCTGTCCCCACAACAGAATTCCATACGACATGATGCTGTGAAAGTAGCTAAAGTACACTAGTCTTGCCGTGCCTACATCGGTTAGCTGTCGGATCTTCCAGACAGCATAAGCTGCAGAGCTCAATCGCCCTGCTAGAGACCTGATGTGGGGCCCCCATTGCAACTTCTCATCTACAGTGATCCCCAGGAAAGTAGTCTCTTTTACAAATTCTAGTTTCTGATCATTTAATAATATATCATCACATACGTTTCTTTTAACATTTGGTAAAATAAATCTAATGCATTTAGTCTTTTTATCATTTAGTAGTAAGTTGTTTATTGTAAACCAATTTTGAACCTTCATTAAGGCCATTCAAGTAGGTAGCACGAAATAAAACCAAAACTACAAACACTTTTTAAAAACGAAATCTTCAAAGGCAACTTAAAAAAGGTTTTAAAATTAAATGCAAACTTTTTACATGAACACGTAACCCGACCGTTCTTTAATTAAAAAGTGTGCACAGGTAATATAATACACGTCTCATTAAAAAAGGAACAACCTCTTCCCGGCTTTTAAGCTGTAATATATTGGTGGGGGGATGGAGGACAAGTAGAGGAATGAGGACAAACAGAGGAACGAGGAAAGGGGGAATGCGTGTAATCGGATTTCTGAAAACAAAGGCAAGTTTTTCCCGGTGGTGATGCGTGGCCAATGAGTGCGCGTTATTATGTCCATTTTGTGGGGGGAAGTCGGCGTAAAAAGGGAAGGGTTGTGAAGTTATGTCGTTGTGTGCCGACAGCATAATGAAGAAAGTCAGCGTTGTTTTACATTCTGTAAGATTTATGCTTAATTAACTAGCTTCTGCCAGCGGCTTGGGCTGCAGAACCTACTTGGAAAAAAATTGACAACGTGTCTTTTTGTAGACTGTAATCTACCTGTACGCCACATTCAGATCCGCTATGTTCGGTAGGTTTTACGTGATAGAGTAATCTATTTATCCATTTATATTGAAAAACTTTGAAGTTAAGAGCTTGGTTTTGAATTTTTCATGTCTTTTGGATTACTACAAGTTTCATCGGTTTAATTAATGCAATGACTTAGTTTTAGCCCATTTGGAGACTTTGACGAAACAAAATCCTGATATTGTTTATAAAGAGTAGATTTTTAACTTCAATGACTTCTATTATGACAAAGAAGACGTTGTTCTCACCATGTGCTGGTGCGGAAGACTGGTGCCTCTTGGGCGAGCCGCCCGGAGGCGCGGGCTGCATGGCGCGCGCTAGCGGACCCTCGCCGCACCGCCCGCCACCTTCCGGCTCATGGCTGTAACAATACATTACAAACGTTAGTACGCACATACTCTGTTATCTAGTTTTTAACATAAAAAAAGCTTCTTCTCAGCCCTATCATACCTATTGTAAAATTACTTGGTGTTAGCAACTCTACTGTAAAATGAAACACACTTCTTTGGACAGAGGTTAAGTATTGCCATACAATGTGGTAATGCTGCTGCAGCTAGCCTTTTGGAAACTTCCCCGTTTGCATCGATATGGATGAATCCCTCGATACCATTTAGTTATTATATACTCCTTCGATAGTTGACTGAGTGATATGGCTGTGGTTTGATTTGGTGGTTTTGCTCAAATTATTATGAATGAATGATATTCGAAAATTTTTAAAATCAACGTTATTATCTTGTTACAAACTAGTAGAGCTTTTCTCAGTTACAGAAAAACTCTACTAGTTTTAAGTCACAGCGGGACTCTTTATTTGTTAGCAGGGCTCGCGTCGCGACGTCGCTGTCGAGTTAATTTATGTAAGTAAGTCATTAAGTATTTTCAATAATGTAGTATGCCTTACTATAATAATAATTATAGAAAACCATTGTAAAGCTTCACATTTTGGAGTGAAAGTTAGTTTGACAGTAGTTAATACATACGTATAAGTTGCCTAAGCTACGCCTAAGGTTCAACACTTTAAACTTATTTCTAACAAGGAAATCTGTTTTTGCTCTCTGTGGGAGCGTCACTCAAAAACTACTGAACGAAATTTAATGACAGTTCCGTTGCTATTTTTGTATACCTACTGCCGACCAAAAAGGGTCTTATGCCTTGTTAGAAATAAGTTAAAAAAAGATCGAACACACTGTTTTCTTGTCATTTGATTTTTTAAGGAAAGACGATCAACCATAGTAGTTCAACAAATACTTTATAAAAGTAATTCGAACAAGGCGTGTTAGATACTCCCAATTATTGTAAAATAAACATTGGAATGATTAACAATTTTCATTACGAGTATAAAATAAACAAAAGCGTACAATACCAATGAGTTCTTAATAGAAAAATAACCTAAACCTCCTTTATGAACAATAAAAGGAAACGTTGACGTTTGTTCTATGTTCAAAAAAAAAAAAACAGCCGACCTCAACCTAAAAGTATTGCAAAGGAAAATATCCATGACAAAATACAAAATAGTTTCGGCTTTACAAAATTGGTCAGGCTTTGGTCAAGGGTTTTACAAAAGACTCCTTTTGGGTGCCGACACGGTAGCCATTTTATCCAAGGGCATTGATATTGTGTAGTTAAGAAATATTGGGTGGCTTTGTGCGGAACGAGTGCGAACGATAACGAGTGGTTTTATGGAAAACAATTTTTTGGTATTTTCCTTATGATGTAGATTAGTTCCCACGGTAGAAAAAATAACCTACTCTATGACATTGACATCTATAATTATATTAAAATCACAACCATTACTTTGCTTTACGCAAATTAACGAGATTGTCAAACGAGATTTTAATTTATTTAAATCTTGTTTCGATGAATGATTAGTTGCAAATACAGATAACTTAATAACCTCAATAACCAACCGCCATCTTGAATTAACGCGGTAAATGGCGCCATTTCATTGTAACAAACCTCTTTTCTATAAATGAACAATGGGTAGAAGCAATTGTTGCCCGTTACGAAAACCGTTTCACGTTAATAGAACGTTTATTTTATTACGTTCCGAATTACCCTTATAACTCCACGTAAGAGGATTAACGCTGAACTTAAGTAATTTTATGAAAACACACTTAGGATTCCTCCCGTAATATTGTTTTTGAAAGGTAAACTTTCGTTTGTTTTTCTTAGTATAGTTCTCTACAGATGTCACGGCAAAAAATATCATTTTAATGTTTAAGGCCATTATTGAACTTATTCAACCACAAAATTCGTTGAAGGGCTGTGATAACGTCAAATGCTATCGATATAAAAAGCATAGAAAAAAAAGTAAGAAAAGGCGGCAATATCTGCCAGCCAGTTAAGGATCTAATTAAGAAAACCTCTTTATTGATACTCAACCCACGCATAAACCTACGCCATTTCTTTTGATCGCAAAAAAAGATAATTATAAAACGCTTTTAACCACGAAAAATTCCATAAAACGTGATTCAAACATTTGAGTTATTTCATATCGCTTCAATTCTACTCAAAGGCTCGATCCCTCGATTGGTCCGAATCAAATTGACCGCAAGGCATCCGAACCCTTCAATAAACTAAGGGAGGTCTAACCACTCCTCTCACATGCTGAAAATACACACAGAAATATCCTTTATGGAATACCTCTCAAAAAGCCCTTTAAATAGGGTATGATAGGATATTTTCACTTCTTTTGCAGAAGTTATTTTTGATAATGTTTTAGTAGCTACACAATAACATCTCTACAAAATAAGCACTGTTAGTAAGAGACCTACAAATCCGAAAAACATAATTAAGAAACATTGCACCAAGTTTTTTTTACCCTAAGTCGTTACGAACTTCTTCGTAACATACCTACCTAGACTCTCAGATTACTAAGACATTGTTATTATTTTTGAAAGTTTGTTTCGCTATTTAGTTTGTTAAGAGGCGAAACTAATCCTGCATGCAACATTGCACAGCTTGGAGAAAATTTGATGGAAGTACATGTTTAAGAAGTATTAAGTTAATAATGTAAGGTTGATGTGTATGTAGCTAAATTGTTGGTTATTACAGAGTTGTTTTCCTTTATTATATGATACTAGCTTTTGTTCGCGACTCCGTTTGCGTGGAATAGTGATTTCCTGCAGATTTTTGGTATGAAAACTATCCTATGTCCTTTCTCGAATTCCAAACTATGTCTGTACCAAATTTCACAGAAATTGGTTCAGTAGTTTAGGCGTGAAGAAAAGACAGACAGAGGTACTTTCGCATTTATAATATTAATTTGGATTATATGTTTTGTGTATTAAATTGTATGGAATGTAGTTGCATTACATGACTAAAAAGGTTTTATGTAAATTTTAAATGTAACAAATTTAGAAGTTAGAAAATTCAGTGTATTTTTCCACAAGGTATGAAAAATGAAGTTAATGATGGCAAACGAATGTCCTAATGCAATTTATCAGAACTTAAAATGTAATATTGGTAAGATGAATATATTTTATTCGATTATGTGTATTGTATACCTACAATAAACAGGCACTAGATACATTATTGGTAAGATTAATATATTTTATTCGATTATGTGTATTGTATTCAACGAACAGGCTAGATATTATATCAAATAATATTGCACAATAAATTATCAGGAAAAATGGTAGTCAACATTAATACAGGACGCTTGTACAAAATCATTTTCGTAGATTCAGTGACAAAGGATTTTATCAATTGACGTACAATTTATAGGAATAGATAAGCAATGGAGTGAATGAATGAAATATGATTCAATATTTTACAGAATACAGATTAAAAATTCCGAGTAAATTTGACTGTGAAGATCTTAGGCTGAAAAGATAAAGGAATTGACTTATCCGGCCTTTCAACAGAAAATAGGTGAAAAGTATAATGTGCCTCTTCTACGAAGAGGTCGGATATTTTTGTTAAGAAGTAATTTAGATCTTTTATTATGTATTTTTACTATTTAGGTATAGGGGGTGGGGGGGGGGGTCAAGCTTAGGCACGAATGGTCCGGCTCGATCACGTCAAGCATGCCTTGTTAATTGTCGTGTGAGTGAGGTTACCAAAGACCTAAATCTTCTTCTCTCCCATCCCTCCACAATCTCTAAATCACCCAAACCCAAATCCCCAAAAGGCCGGCAACATACTCGCAACTCAATATTGCAGGTGTCCATAGGTGGCGCTGATTGCTTATACCCAGATACAAGTTAGCTCGTTTACCGACCTATCACAAAAAACCTAACATTTTTGTATGAATATAGAATTCTTTTAAACCAGTTCTTAGTAAAACATTGTAGTCTGGTCACCTTCAAGAGTAAACTAACACAGATCACAGAATACGGTTCAAATCGACCTTCGATGTCAGTCAGGGCATGTTTTTTTTAACATGTAGGTATAACAAACTTCCCAGGAATTCTTATTTACGTTTTTTACCGCGGAATCGCGGAGTTAATTAACTGTATTGTGTTGATTTATATGTAAGGGTTCATATCAAACGGATTTTGTTTCCATATGCTTATTAATAGACTTAAAAATTATCAAACTCTATGTACCTTTGTCTCTTTCTGAAATTTCAGGAAATTTTATAAACATTATACATATTGTGTTTTATTTTTAGTTTTATTTAACAACCATTAACTGCACGGTTGGCGCGGTGGCTGGACAACTGGCTGGTTGTGTGATCCAAAAATTTTGTTCCGAGTCTGGATGTGTGTGTATGTGACATTGTATGTCTGTAAACGTAGCCACGACACAGAAGAACGTCATAGTGAGGCGCAACGTATTAAAAAAAACAGCTTCGGCTTCCCATCTCTTTAACCATTAATTTATTCTATAAAGCCTACATTGGCAATTTTGAACCATTTCTTTTCAACTCAAAATGCTAGTAGATATACCTACTATATGAAATAATAGTCTAAATCCGCTGAATTGGCCACTTAGACCCATTTTTTATAAATATTCTACTATTATAACTACCATAAAAATATAGTCTAAATAACTTAAACAGAACCTAATTCACCACTAGATGGTACTAGTAGTACCAATCAAACGCAGCCATATCCCAGGCTCGCCAATGTCATTACGTACGTGGTCATAGGAAGTTGTAATTATCGCAACACGGTTCTGTCCGGCGTCAGGACCTGGGGTTTGCTCCCCTTCCCCCCTATTTTATACCCCTTCACCCCCGCACGCATCGATTGGCGGCTTTCGGCGCATGCAAATGCACAATGCCCCTTGCATTCAGAATTGGTACTGTTGGTAGCTAGGCACGTTATGTCAGGGGTGCCGAAAATAGATTTGAAATGTGTTTGAGTACGTAGATATATTTTAGGGAAAGTTGTATTTAAAGTTTTAAGAATGTAGGTC